TGATTTAATGGAAATATATTGACCTAACTGGTCAATTTCCATTATTTTTAAGTATTCATGAAATATTTACAGAAAACTGACAATAAAGCAAATCTCAACAAATTTAAAAGGATTTGTATCACATCTGTATCACACATGCCCTGAGCACAGTGCATTTAATTTAGAAATTAATAAGATAATGTATAAAACATTCAACTGAAAACTTAACACTTCTCAGTAACTTACAGGTTGAAAAAGAAATCTTAAAGTTAGAAAGTAACTTAGGACTGAATTATAAAAATAGTTTCAATTTTGTGGCACACAACTTACATTGGTACTTAGAGCAAAATTTATGTTGTATTTAGAAAGGAAAAAGGCAGTGGCTCATGCCTGTAATCTTAACACTTTGGGAGGCCCAGGCGGGCGGATCACAAGTTCAAGAGATCGAGACTATCCTGGCCAACATGGTGAAACCCTGTCTCTACTAAAAATACAAAAATTAGCTGGGCGTGGTGGCAGGTGCCTGTATTCCCAGCTACTCAGAAGACTGACTCAGGAGAATTGCTTGAACCCAGCAGGCGGAGGTTGCAGTGAGCCGAGATCACACCACTGCACTCCAGCCTGGCAACAGAGCAAGACTCTGTCTCCCAAAAAAAAAAAAGGAAAAAGGCTGAAAGTGAGCTAAATATCTAAAAAAAAAAAAAGAAAGAAAAAACTGAAAGAAGGCAAAAATTTTAAAAGAGCAGAATTTAATAAAATTAAAGATTCAATAGAGATGGTTTTTTTTAAGTCAAAATTTGGTTCCAAATTGTTTAAATTTTGACTAATTAAGTCTACAGCAAGACTGTTCAAAAAGAAAAGGGGACATAATAAATATGCAGAGATTAAAAAGAGATTCTGAGTAACGTTGTGACAAAATATTTGAAAATCTAGGAGAAATGGGCAATTTCTGGAAAAACAAGTTACCAAAACTGATCCAATGGTAAAATGTAATGTGAATGGTTTGCTAATCGCTAAAATTATACAGAAATTAGATCAGTAATTTAAAATCTTCCCACTAGGAAAATACCTGGCTCAGATTATTTTACAAGTGAGGTAAACCAGCCACTTAAGAAAACTAATTACAATACCTTACACAAAAATTGTATAGGCAACTGAATAAGTAGAAATACTTTTATCAATCTTTCTGAGAACCATAACCTTGATATCCAAACTAGATAAGAACAATACAAGAAAAGTAAATTACGGGCCAGCCTTACTCATGAACATAAGATGTAAAAATCTTTACAAAATATTAGCAAAGCAAATCCAGCATTGTATTTAAAAACAAACAGGGAGCAGGGCACAGTGGCTCACCCCTGTAATCCCAGTACTTTGGGAGGCTGAGGCAGGTGGATGACAAGGTTAGGAGTTTGAGACCAGCCTGACCAACATGGTGAAACCCTGTGTCTACTGAAAAATGCAAAAATTAGCAGGCCACAGTGGTACACGCCTGTAGTCCCAGCTACTCAGGAGGCTGAGGCAGGAGGATCACTTGAACCCGGGAGGTGGAGGTTGCAGTGAGCCGAGATAGCGCCACTGCACTCCACCCTGGGCCACAGAGAGAGACTCTGTCTCAAAAAAAAATTCAAGTGGATTCAACATTAGAAAATCAATTAATGTAATTCACCAATGAACATAGGAAAGAGAAAATCACCCAAATATCCAAATCTGTTAAATATATTTCATTTAATAGTACTATTAAATGAAAATGTTCCATTTATAAGACACAGTAGCAGATTGGAGAAAGAATAAAATGCAACTACACACTACTTGCAAGAGAAATATATAATATAAGGATATAATAAGCCTGAAAGTAAAAGAATAGATGATTCGCCATGCAAAAACTAACCAAAAGACAGCCAGTATAGCTATGTTAATAGCAGATAAAATGTACTTTAAGGCAAAGGGTCTTACTAGAAATGAAGAAGGTCAGCTGAGTGTGGTAAGTCACGCCTGTAATCCCAGCACTTTGGGAGGCTGAGGCCAGTGGATCACTTGAGATCAGGAGTTCGAGACCAGCCTGGCCAACATAGTGAGACCCCTGTCTCTACTAAAAATACAAACATTAGCTGGGGGTGGTGGCAGCGCCCTGTAATCCCAGCTACTCAGGAGCTGAGGCAGGAGAATCTCTTGAACCCAGGAGGTGGAGGTTGCAGGGAGCCGAGATCACACCACTGCACTCTAGCCTGGGCAACACAGCGAGACTCCATCTCAAAAAAAAACAAAAACGTAAATGAAGGTCACTTTACAGTGGTGCTTAACAGTGATTAACAGTTCAATTCACCAGGAAGATACATGCATTAAATGCGTCTGGGCTTAGTAGGCCTTTATAACAAGGCCTTAACGTACATAAAGCAAAATTAAAGAAATGGGAAAATCTACAGTTATAATGGGAAATTTTAACACATCTCTCTCAGTAATTGATGGATGATAAATCATACTCAAGTGGGAAGACAATTTTTTTTTTTTCCCCCAAGACAGGCTCTTACTCTGTCACCAGGGAGCACAGTGGAGCCATCTCAGCTTACTGCAGCCTCTACCTCCCAGGCTCAAGCAATCTGCCCACCTCAGCCTCTTGAGTAGCTGGAACTATAGGCACACGCCACCACATCTGGCTGATTTTTATATTTTTTGGCAGAGATGGGGTTTTCCCATGTTGCCCAGGCTAGTCTCGAACTTATGAGTTCAAGGGATCTGCCCACCTCAGTCTCCCAAAGTGCTGGGATTACAGGCATGCACCACCATGCCCGGCTGACAAAATTTTATAAAAGATTTCGGTTCTTCTCAGATTGATAAAAATTAAGTGCACTGCCAAACACATCACAATTATTTTATGGAACTTCATGAAGTTATTCACAAGTTTATATGAAACAAAAAAGTTCTGAGAAATACCAAAACATTCCTAAGAACATGAAAAGTGCTTTCTTTACAGATATAAGTAATAAGACAGTGTGCTGTTGGCATAAAGACAAACAAATAGACCAGTGGAATCAAGTAGAGAGCCTATATTCCTTGCATATATGGAAAATAATCTCACATAAAAATGAATTATTGATGGATTAAGGATTTAAATGTGAAAGACAGATTTAGAGCAGTAATAGTGATGATGCAGGAGAGGTGCAGTGGCTCACGCCTGTAATCCCAGCACTTTGGGAGGTTGAGGCAGGAGGATCGCTTGCATCCAGCAGTCAAGACCAGCCTGGACAATATAGGACCCCTGTCTGTATCAAAAAAAAAAAAAAAAAAAAAGTTGGAAATGGTGTTGCATGCCTATAGTCCCAGCTACTTGGTAGGCTCAGGTGGGAGGATCGCTTGAGCCCAAGAGGTCAAAGCTGCAGTGAGCCATGATTGTACCACTGCACTCCAGCCTGGGCAATAGAGCAAGACCCCTTCTCAAAAAAAGAGATGGGGGCTGGCCAGGGATGGTGGCTCACGCAAGTAATCCCAACACTTTGGGAGTCCAAGGTGGGCAGATCACTTGAGGTCATGAGTTCCAGACCAGCCTGGTCAACATGGTGAAACCCTGTCTCTATTTAAAAAAAAATAGGGGTGGAGGGCACGGGGGGGCAAAAGTGACGAACAGTACACAAATAGCCCATAAATAGAAGATACTTAACTTCATCTCATCAGCAAAAATCACAGTGGAGTACTATTAGAAACTTATGAGGTAAACAAAAATTACTACCAGTATTAAAATGATGCAGGGTAATGGAAACTCTTATATGGATTATATGAAATAGTTTCATATAAAACTATTATATGAAACTGTGTGGATATGGTATTGATGGGATAGAAATTGGTGTACCCTGAAGTACAATCCAGCAACATTCTGGTGAAGTTAAAGATACGCCAGTGTATGATCCAGCTGTTCCATTCCTGTTCTGCTCCCAGTTATATACTCCTGATAACCACCAAACTGGAAGAAATGCTTGTTCATGTACACTGAGAGACATTCCCAAGAATATCTGTAGTGTGCTTATCATAGCAAAAAATTGGAAGCAACCCAAATATCTATCACTAGTAAAATGGATAATTTCCTAGTCCACTCTACAGTCTGTTATTTTTGAGACGGTGTGGATAGTATAAACCAGTTATTATAAAAAGCCCTTGCCAAAAATGGCAATGAAAATGAATTAAGGTATACATGGCAACTTGGATGAATCTCACAAATATAAGGTTTCTCAAAGCTGGTTGCAGAATACATACAGTATGATACCATTTATAAGTGTTTCAAAACCCACACATGCTGTATTGCTAAGAAATACATGCATTTGTAATGAAAATGCATAAAAGCACAGGGAAGACAAGGTAAATTATGAGGGGAGTTATACAAGGGGAGTTTAATGTGTTTGTAATGTTTCATTTTTTAAGCTGGGTATTAGGTATTTCTTATGCCTTTTAAACTATTGCCTAATATTTTAAAAGATTAAATGGATATGGAAATTCTCTATATTTAATAACTTTACTGAAAAAAATTTAAGGCCTTGTTTACTTGTTTTCTGACTGGCAGTAAGTCTGTCATCTAATGAGATCTTAAAATGGAAAGGGGTGACCTAGAAAGGAATAACAGCGTGGTAGTGGGGATGCTATTTTGATTCTTTTCACACAATTGAAGGCCTACAGCCTTTTCCTTATGTTGTTATAAGGAATAAACCGCTCTACAGTTTGTTATTTTTGAAACTGTGTGGATAGTATAAAACCAGTTACTATAAAATGCCTTTTTCAAATTAAGGGGTAATGTTAGTTTCCAACCAAAATGTAACTTCCTTACATCAAAGCATTTTAGAGGGGAATGTATATTCTATTTTTGTGTAGCTGGTATGGAAGATCATTATTCTTAGAAGAATACATATTTGTACAGGTTTTCTCCTTCCATATGGGTTTGTGTATCAGATTTTAGAACTGAATAATGTAATGATGCTGAACTTGTACTCTTAAGGGCTCCCTGGTTTATTTGAATTAATTTTTTTTAAACAAAGGTGTACGCCCCAAGTTGGGACGCCGGCACAGTATGGAAAATATGGAACTTATGAAGTTAACACCAGAAAAGGTGGGTGACAGGTTTTATATTTTAAATTTCATGAACTATTATAAAATGTTTTAGTAACTTTTCATTTAATGAAATAATTTAAATAAGGCTTGCCCTATATAGATATCACTTTAAAAGTTGCCTGTAAAAAAAAATCAGAAAAAGTATAGTGCAAAAAGAATGCGTACAGTATGCTGCCATCTGTTTAAGAAAAATACATGCATATATTTCCTTTGTAGATTCCTAAAACATTTCTGGAATAAGATGTAAGAAACAGGCTAACAGTGATTTCTTCTGGGAAGAGGACTGAGTGGGTTAGGCTAGAAATACTTTATATACCAGTTTGAACTATTTGAATCATTTACCAAGTAAATGTATTACTTTTTTTTTTAATTAGATCAGGAAGATCAAAAGGACAACCTTTTTTTCCCAACTACATAGCAACTTTATTGCCAAGATAAATGAAATTTATGATCAAAAGGAGAGTTGTTCTTCTAGCTGCATTCTTGAAAAGTTTTTTTTTTTTTTTAAACAAGTACTTTGTGTTGAAGATACATCTTCCTTAGGCTTTTTCTTGGGGGAGAGGGGTGCATAGTAAAAGGGAAGGGACTTCATAATTAGAAACAGGTTATTGAAGAACACATCAAGACTACTTTCTTCCATTTCCTTTGAACTGAATATTACATTGTCAAAATAGGCTCTCAGCCGGGCGCGGAGGCTCGCGCCTGTAATCCCAGAACTTTGGGAGGCCAAGGTGGGTGGATCATGAGGTCAGGAGATCGAGACCATCCTGGCCAACACGGTGAAACCCTGTCTTTACTAAAAATGCAAACGTTAGCTGGGTGTGGTGGTGCACTCCTGTAGTCCCAGCTACTCGGGAGGCTGAGGCAGAAGAATCGCTTGAACCAGGGAGGCGGAGGTTTCTGTGAGCTGAGATCGCGCCACTGCACTCCAGCCTGGCCACAGAGCGAGACTTGTCTCAAAAAAAAAAAAAAAAAAAGGTTCTCGTTCTTTTATGTTTTTGTTTTTTTTTTTTCGTGATGGAGTCTTGCTGAGACTGGGACTATGGGTGTACATCATCATGCCTGGCTAAGTTTTTTCAGAGACAGAGTCTCGCACTGTGTTGTTTAAACTGGTCTTGAACTCCTGGCCTTTAGCAATCATCCTGCCTCAGCCTCCTGAGTTGCTGGTATTATAGGTGTGAACCACTGTGCCAGCTGTGGTATATTTTTAAAAATACTTTTTATAAAATATCTTCATTACAGCAACTTTAGAAAATTTGAATACAGAAATAAAGATAATCAGTAATCCTGCCTCCTGATGGTAACTACAGTTATTTTGGCATCTATTCATCTGGCATTTTCATATGGATGTTATAGACACTATTTTCTAATATGTGGTAATCTATCAAGAACGTCTTTCCAGCTGGACGCAGTGGCTCATGCCTGTAATCCTAACACTTTGGGAGGCCGAGGCAGGCAGATCACTTGAACCCCGGAGTTTGAGACCAGCCTGGGCAACGTGGTGAAACCCTGTCTCTACAATTAAAAAAAAAAAAGATAGAAAAATTAGCTAGGCTTGATGTTGCATGCCATGCCTGTAGTCCCAGCTACTTGGGAGGCTGAGGCAGGAGTATCGTTTGCGCCTGGGATGCAGAGGTTGCAATAAGCCATGATTGTGTCACTGGACTCCAGCCTGGGTAACAGAGTGAGACCCTGTCTCTGGAAAAAAAAAAAAAAAAAAAAAAAGAAAAAGGAACATCTTTCTATGCCATTAAATATTCTTCTGCCCTATCATTATAACAATAACATATGCTTTTTCAATAGTGATAGTTTATGTGTGAATAGTCTTCAAAAAACCAAAATCTAATTGTGTTAGAATCATATCCAAGATATTTTTATTCCAGCCATTCACAGTTATTTGGAAACTCTAGTAATTTTTAAAGGACTTTGTGATTTTTCCAAATGTCCAGCTTTTCTTTGTGAGTGGCTCTCAAATATAAATTTGTTAAATCCACAAATTATTTTTTAAAAGCTTTTAAGGCAATTTTTGTCTACTTTCTTCTTTTAGGAACATACTAATAAGTAGCAAAATTAATTTGCTATCTTCTGCCTACCTATGTAGTGGTACTAACAGTGTTATGTAAGAAGCTGACCAGATTTGACCTTGTAATTCTCCAAGAGCCAAGTGATAAAATTCTATCCTTAATTTAAAATATGTTTAAGTGTAATTAGTTCTTTGTATTGGTTTCTTTTCCTCATAATAAAGCTGTCAAATAATTCATTATTTCATTATTCTCAACAAAGTAAAGAAGCATACATAAGGAAAAAGGGAATTGCTTTGCCCTGTATTCTTGTTTTCAGTATTGTTGAGAAGTTCAAATAAATATATAAGGAACATTTTTAATTTTTCTTCTTGGGTTTTGGGTACAGTTTTATGTTCTCACATCAAGGACCATTTTCCTTTTCTCTAAACAATAGACCATGAAATCCACTGTAGTAAATAATTTCCCCTTATAATGTGTATGTGAAAAGGAATCGATGGCTTGGTTCACTTACTAACCACATGTTTTAAAAACAGCAACAAGGCCTGGCGCAGTGGCTCACGCCTGTAATCCCAGCACTTTGGGAGGCCAAGGTGGGTGGATCACAAAGTCAAGAGATCGAGACCATCCTGGCCAACGTGGTGAAACCCCGTCTTTACTAAAAATACAAAAAATTAGCCGGGCGTGGTGGTGGGCACCTGTAGTCCCAGCTACTCGGGAGGCTGAGGCAGGAGAATCACTTGAACCTGGGAGGTGGAGCCTGCAGTGAGCTGAGATTGCACCACTGCACTCCAGCCTGGCAACAGAAAAAGAAGAAAAAAAAAACCAACAAATGTATTTATATGTGTATATATATATATACACATACACACACACACACACACTCTCTATATATATAAATGGGTTCTCACTATGTTGTCCAGGCTAGCCTCAAATTCCTGGGCTCAAGCAATCCTCCTGCCTCAGCCTCCTGAGTAGCTGGGATTATAGGTGTGAGCCACCATCCCCAGCTACATGTCTCACTCCCCTGTACATTTATTTCAGTTTGTGCCTCATGGGGCACTTTTCTGGATTGGTGGAAATGTTCTATGTATTGATTGGAGTAGGGGTTATATGGCTTCCAATCATAGACTTAAAGTCTGTGCATTTGACTGTAATTTTACCTATGAAAAACTGTGTGTAACTAAAATTATTACATAGCATGAACCTTTAGACTTAATTATAAACATTTAAGACTGAATGTTAAAGCTGCAAATGTCAGAGCTATTGTATGTAGTGCATATTTTTCCCCTGTACTCAATAAATGTTATTTTGTTATTTGTAGGTTGTGTATTTACATCATATCTAGACCTTTATAAATTGGTTTTGCCTATTGAGAATTTAATACGGTATTAATAAAAACAGTACTGTTTTATTTTTTAAAAATTACTGCTATGTTTCAAATATTAATTTTTATGTTTAAAAATTCTACATACATCCAAAAATTCCAGTTGTAACATATTTTTAAGTAACTCACGTCTAGAGTAAAACTTTGGCTCCTTCTCTGACCGTTCATACTTTATAAGGTTTTGGCAAACCTTGCTTTCTTATTCATAGGTTCTTTAAAACCAGCATTTTAATGTTTTGATAATGAGAAATCCACAGTATGCATTTGGTACAAGATCTTGAAAATAGTGCAATATACTAAAAAAGATATTTTTAAAGAGATCTAAAATTCTTCCTCTCTCCCCCAGTAGTAAATAAGTGAGTATGTCAGGTTAATATTATGGGAAACCAGAAGAGAGCTGGGGATTTGGAGGTGTTTTTTCACCTACCTTCCATTTATAATTTTGTAGATACAGAACTGGAACAGTGAAATTCTTGCTAAGCAAAAACCTCTTATTGCCAAACCTTCTGCAAAGCTACTCTTTGTCAACAGACTGAAGGGGAAAAAATACAAAACGAATTCCTCCACTAAAGTTCTCCAAGATGCCAGTAATTCTATTGACCACCGAATTCCAGATTCTCAGAGGGTACGTTTAAGTTTTTGAGTATTGTGTTTTGAGTACCAACATTTGGGTTTTCTTGTATTCATACTGAATTTTTAGTAATTTAAATTAGACATGTAATATAAAATACCTTTGTATTCATATTTCCCTATCTTTTCTATCTTCTTCAAAATTAGAAATGGTAATTACTGTCTTAGTAGATAAGTTGCTCCCTTGTATTGGACAATAATTATTTTTCTTTTTGTTTTTTTTTTCTCGAGATTGAATCTTGCTCTGTCACCCAGACTGGAGTTCAGTGGCGCAATCTCGGCTCACTGCGACCTCTGCCTCCCGGGTTCAAGCGATTCTCCTGCCTCAGCCTCCCAAGTAGCTGGGATTACAGGTGCGCACCACCATGCCCAGCTAATTTTTATATTTTTAGTAGAAACAGGGTTTCACCACGTTGGCCAGGCTGGTGTCGAACTCCTGACCTCAAGTGATTTGCCTGCCTTGGCCTCCCAAAGTGCTGGGATTACAGATGTGAAGCACTGCGCTTGGCCAATAATTATTTATTTGAGTCACTGTTGTTTGCAAAAATACTACCAGTTATTTCACTGCATTGTCTCCCAGTAAAACCACCCTCTACTCAGCTCAGAAGGCAGAACAAATTAAATTCAGATGCTCAAGAATTTTTAAATATTAATTTAGAATGAAGAGTGTCTGTTAGCATCTACTTCTATTAATCATATTATTGAAACTGTAATGATAGAATTACAAACTTTTGATGAAAAATGAGCCTGGGCAACATGGTGAAACTGTTTCTACCAAAAAATAAAAAGTTAGCCGGGTATGGTGGTATGTGCCTATGGTCCCAGAGCCCAGGAGGTGGAGGTTGCAGTAAGCTGAGATCATGCCACTACACTCCAGCCTGGGCAACAGAGCAAGACCCTGTCTCAAAAAAAAAAGAGAAAAATGAGCATAGCAAACAGTTTATTTAATTTATTTAGAAATAAAAATATGATGGGTTTACTGATAATCAGTATCAGGGAAATCTCAAATCCAGCTACCCTATAATCTGGTAAAAGTATCAAAGTAAATTACAAAGAAGGTACTTCATATTATCAAATCCATTTATCTGCCAGGCGCAGTGGCTCATGCCTGTAATCCCAGCACTTTGGGAGGCAAAGGTGGGTAGATCTTCTGGATTTAAGAGTTCGAGATCAGCCTAGCCAACATGGTGAAACCCCATCTCTACCAAAAATGCAAAAAATTATCTGCGTGTGGTGGCACACACCTGTGGTCCCAGCTACTCAGAAGACTGGGGTGGGAGGACTGCTTGAGCCTGGGACGCAGAGGTTGCAGTGAGCTGAGATTGCACCACTGCACTCCAGCCTGGGTGACAGAGTGAGACCCCATCTCAAAAAAAATTAAAAAATAAAATTGGCTGGGCACGGTGGCTCATACCTGTAATCCCAGCACTTTGGGAGGCCAAGGCAGGCAGGTCACTTGAAGTCAGGAGTTCAAGACCAACCTGGCCAACATGGCAAAACCCCGTCTCTACTAAAAATACAAAAAATAGCTGGGTGTGATGGCACATGCCTGTAATTCCAGCTACTCAGGAGGCTGAGGCAGGAGAATCGCTTGAACCCAGGAGTTGGAGGTTGCAGTGAGCCGAGATCGTGCCACTGCACTCCAGCCTGGGCGACAGAGTGAGACTGTCTTCAAAAGAGTAAAATAAATAAAATCAATTTTTCCAGCAATGAGAGCCTTTGAAAAAAAAGTTAACCTTTTTGTTTTAAGTTAGAGATTTCTTTTGTCAGCATTTCATTTATACTTATATCCTTGTAGTGTCTTTTGTCTCAATTTCTTTCCCCCAAGTCTGTGGTATTGTTATAGAATGCCTCGATTTTTATCAGTGGTTTCTTACATAGCTTTTCTGGGATAGCTATGACTAATAAAATTAAAACTTATGGGGTATATAGAAATTCAGGGATATTTTTGTAGATCTAGAGCAGGACTGGAATTCAAGGAAGTCACGCCTTTGTTCAAAGTTTGGGGTCTTAACTAAGCTCACTTAGCTCAACTGAAAATGCCCATACTTTTGGAGCCATATATATTTTTACGTTCAGTCTTTAATTCTAGGCTTTTTTGCTCCTAGGAAAAAGTCTTTTGTTGGTAATTAACACATTTGACTGTGGCTTATGTATATATCATTCCCAAACCTCAAATTTAACATGTTAAAAACTTCTCTTAATCACTCCTGTTTTCCTTGTCCCAGTTAAAGGGATACCATTTACTCTGTCCCTAAGCCAGGAACCCCAGTGTCGTGCAAGATTCCCTCTTTCACTAACCACATCAAATCTACTGTGTCCCTCAGATCTGCTCTCACCCTCACCCCTTTTAAAAAATATCTGCTACCCCAGCACTTTGGGAGGCCAAGGCAGGCAGATCACCTGAGGTCGGGAGTTCAAGACCAGCTTGGCCAACATGGTGAAACCCTGACTGTACAAAAAATACAAAAATTAGCCAGGTGTGGTGGCATGCACCTATAGTCCCAGATACTCAGGAGGCTGAGGCAGGAGAATCACTTGAACCTGGGAGGCAGAGGTTGCAGTGAGCCAAGATCATACCACTGCACTTCAGCCTGGATGACAGAGCGAGATTCCGCAAAAAAAAAAAAAAAAAAAAATCTGCTACCATGTCTTAGCCTAGTACTTACTCTCTTACCTAGACTTCAGTAGGTACCTGAACTGATCTCCCTGCCTTCATTTATTATCGCTAAACAAAACTGCTTAAAATTGACTATTGCCAGTGCTCATCTTATTTCACATAGGATAAAGTCTACATTTGTTAGTATTGCATACAAAGGCCTCTTCCCTCCTCTATACCTACCCCTACCCTTCAGTTCATCATCAATTGAATACTATTGCATATTAACCAGTATGAAACATCTCTCACCTCCAAATGTCTATTCATTCTTAAGGAGCCAACACAAATACATGCTATGAAATTTTCCCTGTTTCTCCTAAAAATTAGTTCTTCTCTCCTCCTCAGGCCCATAACATTTTTTGTATATGTGCCTCTATTATAATACATCATTATGAAAAAATTAAAATAATTACTTGTATTAAACATTGCATTAATCATTTCAGTTTTGAAGCCTTCCAAATGAAGTATAAATATAGATCTTGCTCTCCTCACAAATATTCATTTATTTGAAGTTTGTATTTTTTCAGGGTCTTCAAATCTAAGTATAATAAAAAGACCTTAGAAATCACTATGGTAGGAAAATACCCTTGTTTTCTTTCTTAGACAGCTCTTACAAAGAGGTAAGTGTACTTAAATTCCACTGTAGAATGTTTAGAACTGAATGCAGAGCCTGAAGTACAGGCCTGTATCACCAGTGTTTGCATAATTCAGTATCTGTAGTGGTTCTGTTACGTCTGAGGTATGTTTCTTTAGCTTCAGAAATACAGGAATTAAAAACTAGAAGTGCTTTTTGTTAGTTGGATTAAAATAAGATTTTATTACCAATATTTGCCATCTTGTATTCTTTTTCAAAATGTCAATTCTCATTTTTAATCCTCATCCTTTACCTTTTGCATTTAAATGCATCATGATGTTCACTGATGATCTAAAAATAATACTGGAATATTCAAATGAACTAGACTTCCTCTCAATATTTTAGAAAATCAGTGCAGATGCTATTGGAGATGAAGGGTTCTTTGACTTATTAAGCCGATTTCAAAGCAATAGGATGGATGATCAGAGATGTTGCTTGCAAGAAAAGAACTCCCATACAGTTTCAACAACAACTTCTTCCACTCCCCCCAAAATGATGCTAAAAAGTAAGTCATCTCTGTTTCTCCCCCGATTTTAATAGTTCTCTTTGATATTCTTGTGGTTTATTTCTGAGAATTGAGTTCTCATCATAAGAGATATAATAAATGAGCCTGAATCCAGGTATATCCGAAATGCTGCTATTATACAGTTCAAACAAGGTTTTTTCAGTTCCCTTATGTATATCTGTGTTTTTAGTCCAATGTGCCTTCTACTAACTATATTATACTACCTCCCTAGTTTTCTTTGAAAAATCTGTTGTGGAAAATGTGACTGTGAGCCAGGTGTGGTGGTGCACGCCTGTAATCTCAGCTACTTGGGAGGCTGAAGTGGGAGGATCACTTGAGGTCAGGAGTTTGAGGCTATAGTGTGCAATGATCGTGTTTGTGAATAGCCACCGCACTGCAGCCTGGGCAGCATAGTTAAAGCCTATGTCTAAAAAATATATAAAAATAAAATCTGATTTTATTTATTTATTTGAGACGAGATCTTGCTGTTAGCCAAGCTGGAGTGCCAGGCCATGATCATAGTCAGTGCAGCCTTGTGCTTCTGGGCTCAAGTGGTCCTCCTACCTCAGCCTCCCAAGTAACTGGGACTCCAGGCACACACCACCATGCCCGGCTAATTATTTTTATTTTTTGTGGAGATGAGGTCTTGCTATGTTGTCCAGGCTGGTCTCAAGCTCCTGGCCTCAAGTGATCTTCCTGCCTTAGCCTCCCAAAGTGCTGGTATTCCAGGCATGAGCTACCATGCCCAGCCTTAATATAACTTTTAAAAATACAAATGAGGAAGAAAAGTAGTTATACATACTTTATGATTATATATAAAATGTCAATACTTCGTATCTGAATTAAGAAAGAAAAACAAAGACAGACTGAAGAGGAACCTATGGCTAAGGCTGAGGCTAAGGCCTGGCTGAGTTAGAAAGGACTAAAATAGGTTGCTTATATTTTTCTATTTCAGCTACCAAAAGACTTCTTATACCATAGACCAAGACTTGCCAGCAGCACTTAACTGTTAGTTTACTAAATGATTTGTATCCAGGGCCTAGAATAAAAAACACTGTCCCACACATCCTGGTCTGAGAAATTATGTAAGAAAAACAGTTTATTCACCTTCTGAAATCTGGTCACATATAGTTACATTTTGAGTGAGCGTTAAATAGAGAAATATAGCCAAATCTGAATAACCCCCAAGTGGGTCATTTGAAGTACTCTAGGGTTCATTTTTCCCTCCCGCCAGTAAAAACCACACCCATCTAGCCAAAGCCCATCCGTGTCAGCGCTATAGCAGGAGGGCAGGGCAGGTATTGGGACTGGCAAGGCTGAAAAGATCTAGGTATATATAATAAATGTGCTTAGGTTTTTTTTGTTTTTTTGTTTTTTTTTAACCTTTCGCTTTCTTCTACTATTCTTAGCACCGTCTGTTCCTGTGGTATCCCCCAACACGGATGAGTTTTTAGATCTTCTTGCCAGCTCACAGAGCCGTCGTCTGGATGACCAGAGGGCTAGTTTCAGTAATTTGCCAGGGCTTCGTCTAACACAAAACAACAGCCAGTCGGTACTTAGCCACCTGATGACTAATGACAACAAAGAGGCTGATGAAGATTTCTTTGACATCCTTGTAAAATGTCAAGTATGTCTGTATGTTTTTTTCATTCTGCATACAGCTCAGATGCCACTGAGAACATTGGCAGTGTTATAATTCTCATTCAGGAAGGGCTTATTTTTTATTAGAGAGTTATTATTGTCCCTCATTCAGTAAAAAATTATTGAACACCGATTATGTTTCAGGTGCTATTCTAGGCATTGAGGACACACTTGATTTTTAAAGGATCTTACATTTTAGGAGAGACAAGTGCATGTGTGTGTGTTTGTGTGTGTGTGTGTGTATAGAGAGAGAGAGTATGTGTGTGTATGTGTGTTGTATTAGGTAATCATACTTGCTATGAAGAACTTTAAAGGAGGATAAAGGGGTAGTGGATAAGCGAAGGTGTTGGTGGTAGGGGGAGTGTCTGTTTTAGGTAGGGTGGTTAGAGAAGACCTTTCTAGATTGTCATTTGAACAGAGACCTGAATGCAGTGAAGCAGTCAGCCATGTAACTATCTAGAGAAAGAGTATTCCATGCAGAGGCAGCAAGTCCCCTCTTGGATATAAAAGCTTAGCCAGTTCAAGGAATGGCAAATGTGACTGGCATGGGATGGGTAGGGGAAGGGAAGAGTCGCACAATATGAGGATGGAGAAGTAATCAGGGCCTAGATCATCTAGGCTCTTGGAGGCCATGATAAAGTCTTGTGTTTTAGATGTATTAAGAAAGTACTGGGAGTATCCTCAAAGAGGATCCTGGCTACTGATGGAAGAATGTAGAGTGGCAAGGGTGTTAGTATGAAAACCAGCTAGGAAGATAGTATGGCAATGCAGGCAAAAAATACTGGTGATGTGGACTAGAGTGGTAACAGTGAGTAGTCAGCGTAGGGCTACATTATTAGTTATTATATCAGTTATATATTATGGTTAGTTGGCAGGATGTCTTAATAAATTGGGTAGAGGGTTTCAGGGAAAGAGAATCAAAGATTACTTATACCTTGAATAACTGGGAAATGAATGGTTCTATTTACTGAAATGGAGATGACTAGAGAGAAGCAAGTTTGGAGACAAAAAGCAAGAGTTCTGTTTTAGACATGTTAAATTTGGTAAACTGTTAGCCAGTTCAAGGAATGGCAGGTGTGACTGGTATAGACAATGAAGTAGAGGTGTTAAATAGGCAATTTGATGTGAAATCTGGAGCCCAAGGGAGATGTAAACTTGGGAGGCATCAGCATATAGCTGGTATTAAAGCCCTGGGAAGAAATTACCTAAAGAATAGGACAGGAAGACTAAGCCCTGAGCATTTCAAAGTCTACTAGTTAGATGGAGGAAGATGAGCTGGCAAAGCAGCAACAGCCAGAGAGTTGGAAGGATACCCCGAGGGTGGGCTGGGGTGGGGTGGGGTGAGGTGTGGTGTGGTGGAAATCAAGTGAAGAGTGTATCTTAAGCAGTGCTCAACTGTGGCAAATGTTGCTAAGAACCTGAGTCAGATGATAACTACTAGATTTGATAACATGGAGATTATAAATAATTTTGAAAGATACTGTTTCAGTGGTATGGTGGGGACAAAGGATTGAGTGGGGTGGGAAAATGGGAAGTGTGAAAGGGGAGATAGTAAATATAGAAAACTTTAATGGGTTAAATGGACCATTAGCTAGAAAAGAAATAGAAGGCAAATGTGGTTTTTTCTTTTCTTTTTTGGGGTGATAACATAGTTTACAGGTGGAAACGGTCAAGTAGAGAAGAGTCAGTGATGTAGGTAAGTCTGGGGTAACTGAAGAACACAGTTTTTGTGTAGGTGAGAGAGGGAAAGCAGAGTATGCATTTGGAGATGGGAGCAAGTAGGAATTCTCTCTGGATGCTTTTATTGTCTCACCAAAGAAAGAAGTAGTCATTAGTTAAGACTGGGGTTGGGGAGCCCTACAAATTTGAAGAGAAAGGAAGTGGGAAATAGATGACTTAGAGAAACTGAAACTAGGGGAAAGTATTAAGAATACTGTGCTGTGGAAAGAACCCACCTGAGGTTCACAGTCACTGGAAGTAAAACTGGTTGAATGCAATTGTGTATTTATCCAGTCATAACCAGCTGCTTGAAGCAGAGAGATAAATCAAGACTGATATTTTGCCAGGAGAATGGGATTTAGGGGAGAGAATGGTAGTTGAAGACATGTGCCAGGAAGTGATTTTAATAATGGACTTTAGAATCTAGGCTGTAAGAAGGGAAATAAAGAAATGAAAGGTGTGAAAGTAAAAAGTAGCAGTGGTCCCAGTAGATTCAAGGAATGCTAAAGATACATAACAAACCATCAAGATCTATGAAGCAAAAATTAACAGAATTGAAGGGAGAAATGGACAGTTCTACAAAAATAGTTGTGGAATTCAATATCCTGTGCTCATTAATGGATAGGACAACTAGAAGATAAGTGAGGAAAAGGAGGACTTGAATACACAGTAAACCAACTAGATTTAATGTGCACATATAGCACACTTGACCCAACAACAGCAGTGTGCACATTCTTCTGAGGTGCACATGGAACATTTTTCAGGTCAGTCCATATGTTAGGCCACAAATTCTCAACAGATTTAAAAGATAACTATCATATAAAGTACCTTCTCTGACCCCAAAGGATAAAATAAGCAATAACAGAAGGAAAACAGGAAAAACTCACAAATTTGTGGAAATTAAACACTCTTAAACGACTAATCCATCAAAGAAGAAATCACAATGGAAACTATAAAATAGAGACAAATAAAAATAAACATACAAAAATGTATGGGACATAGCAAAGGCAATGCCAAGGGGGAAATTCATAGCCATAAATGTTTACACTAAAAAAAGACGAAAGATCTCAAGTCAACAACTTCACTTTACAACTTAAGGAACTAGAAAAAGAAGAACAAACAAAACCCTAAACTAGCAGAAGGAAAGAAAGAAAAATAAAGATTATAGCAGAAATAAATAAAATACAGAACAGAAAAAAAATAGAGAAAATCAATGAAGCCAAAACGTTTTGAAAAATAGATTAACAAAATTGACAAACTTTTAGCTAGATAAATTTTAAAAACATTCAAATTACTAGAAACACAAACTTACCAAGAACAAATGATGAAGAAACAGAAAATACACCCATCGTAAGGAGGTTGCATCAGTAATCAAAAACCTCTTGATAAAAGCCCTGGACCTGATATCTTTACTGGTGCATTCTATCAAACATTTAAAGAACTAACACTATGCCTTCTCAAACTGTTCCTTCCAAAAACTGAAAATAAAGGAATACTTCATAACTCATTCTATGAGGCCAGTATTGCCAATACCAAAGCCAGACAGACACTACAAGAAAAGTACAGATCAATATCCTTCATGAATCCAGATGCAAAAATCAACAAAATACTACAATCCAAATTCAGCAGCACATCAAAAGGATTTTACAACATGACCAAGTGGGATTTATTCCTAGGACACAAGGATTGATTGTTCAACATGTGAAAATCAATCAATGTAACACATAAACAGAATAAAGGGAAAAAACACATATAGGAAAAAAAAATGACAAAATTCAAAACTCTTTCATGATAAAAACTTAAAAATTAGCAACAGTAGGAAACTACCAGAACATAGTAAAAGCCATATACGAAACATGCACCGCTGACATCATACTCAATGGTGACAGACTGAAAGCTTTCCTCCAAGATCAGGAACAAGATCAGAATGCAGGTTTTGGCCACTTTTATTCAATGAGGTACTAGAAATTCAAGCAATTAGGCAAAAAAGAAAAAAAGGCATTCACATCGAAAAGGACAAAATATCAATAAAATTGACAGAGGTAATCAACAAGTTCAGCAAAATAGCATGATACAAAATCAACACAAAAATCAGTTGTGTGTTTATACACTAACAATGAACAATTGAAAAGAAATATAAAATTCCATTTAAAATAGCATCAAAAAAATAAAGTACTTAGGAATTAATCATTGAGGCAAAAGACTTGTATAATGAAAACCACAAAACATTGCTGAAAGAGATGAAAGAAAACAAATGGAACAATATCCCATGTTCATGGATTAGAAGACTTAATGTTAAAATTTTGATACTATCCAAAGTGACCTACAAATTCAATGCAATCCCTGTAAAAATCCAAATGGCTTTTTCCCCCTACAGAAATAGAAAATATAGCCTAAAATTCCTAAAATTCATATGGAACCTCAAGGGACTTCCAAATATCCAAAACAATCTTAAGAATAAAGCTTTAGGACTCACATTTTTTTATTTCAGGTTATTACAAAACTACACTAATCAAAACAGTGCAGTACTGGCATAAAGACAGACATATAGACCAAAGGAACAGAATACAGATCCCAGAAATAAACTTTGCATGTGTGGTCAAATGATACACAACAGGGGTGCCAAGACCATTCCATGGGGGAAAGGATGGTTTTATCAACAAATGGTTCTGGGTAAACTAGATAGCCACATACAAAAAGAATGAAGTTGGACCCTTACCTAATACTATATACAAAACTCAAAGTGGATCAAAGACCTAAGCATCAGAACTAAAACTATAAAACTAAAGAGGAGCATGTGGTGGCTCACACCTGTAATCCCAGCACTTTGGGAGGCCAAGATGAGAGGATTGCTTGAACCTAAGAGTTCAAGACCAGACTGGGCATCATAGTGAGATCCCATCTCTATAAAAAAAATTTTTTAATGGCATACACCTGTAGTCCCAGCTATGCAGGAGGCTGAGGTGGGAGGATCACTTGAGCCTAGGAGTTCAAGGCTGCAGTGAGCCATGATCATGTCACTGTGCTCTAGCTTAGGCCACAGAGTGAGACCCTGTCTCTAAAGGAAAAAAAAAAGGAAAGCCTCATGGCATTGGGTTTGGCAGTGATTTCTTGGTTATAAAACCAAAGGAGCAGGGAACAACAACAACAAAATAGACAAAATGGACTTAAAAACTTGTGCCTCAAAGGACATTATCAACAGTAAAAAGGCAACTCAACATAAAATACTTGGAAATCACATATCTAATAAAGGATTAATATCCAGAATATATAGAGAACTCCTAAAACTCAACAAAAACCAACCTGATTCAAAAATGGGCAAAGAACTGCAAGAGGCATTTCTATAGAGAGAACAAGAGGCTAGAATATGATCATGGGAGCCAAATGGCTAATGCCGAAGTGAAGGATGAGAACACTCAATCAGAGGAAGTCTAGGAACTGAAGTGCCAAGTGTTGGGTTAATTGGAGGACATTGAAATTATCAATTTATGACAGGAGAAATGAGTGAGCCATGTATGTGTGGAGGCGGCACCGACTTAGGAGGGCAGTAAATAACTGCATCCTCTGAGGGTTGTGGGATTAAATACTCAGGGATCTATGTGCTTATCACAGTCCCTAACAATGTAGTGGGTATTCAAATATCAGCTATCACACTTCTTATTCTTGAGCTACAATGCCAGAAACTGTGGTGTATACTTGTAAGTACATGTATTTTTTGACAAGTAGCATGTCTAATATAAGAATCATAATACTCAAACTTGAAAGAAAAATTCAGAGACCAGGTATGGTGGCTCATGCCTGTAATCCCAGCATTTTGGGAGGCCAAGGCGGGCAGATCACTTGAGGTCAAGAGTTCAAGACCAGCCTGGCCAACATGGTGAAACCCTTGTCTCTACTAAAAATAAAAAAATTAGCCGGGTGTGGTGACACATGCCTTTAGTACCAGCTACTGGGAGGCTGAGGCAGGAGAATCAGTTGAACCTGAAAGATGGAGGTTGCAGTGAGCCAGGATCACACCACCGTACTCCTGCCTAGATGACGGAGCAAGACTGTGTCTCAAAAAAAAAATCACTCTGGGCTATTTCTTTTTTTTTTTTTTTTGAGACGGAGTCTCGCTCTGTCGCCCGGGCTGGAGTGCAGTGGCCGGATCTCAGCTCACTGCAAGCTCCACCTCCCGGGTTTACGCCATTCTTCTGCCTCAGCCTCCCAAGTAGCTGGGATTACAGGCGCCCGCCACCTTGCCCGGCTAGTTTTTTTTTGTATTTTTTAGTAGAGACGGGGTTTCACCGTGTTAGCCAGGATGGTCTCGATCTCCTGACCTCGTGATCCGCCGGCTATTTCTTAACAGATTTAACTGCCTAAGACAGAGGCAGGCAAACTTTTCCTGTTAAGGGCCAGATAGAAAATATTTTAGGCTTTGCAGCCTATATGGTCTCTGTTGCAACTGCCCAACTCTGCCATTTAGTAGGGAAGCAGCCATATAGACAGTATATAAACAGATGTATTGATGGGAAAATGAAAATGACTTCATCTACAGAAGCAGGCATTGGGTTACAGTTTGCTGTCACCTAGCCTAAGATGCGATTTTTTTTAAGGTAGTTCCTCATGGGTTTGTACATATTTCTAAAGGTTTGTTAAGTTCCACTGTTGATGCCTGTTAGATTATAACCTTGAACTGTCATACTTAGATAGAGTTGACCTTGTGTTTTATCTCAGATTTTTTGTGACCAATTATAATTAAAACAGTATGACTTAATATAATGCACTTACTAAACCCATGAAGCAGCTATACCTATATAAGTCATTTTAAAGGAAAAATTGTATGCAGTTTCAGGTTTAAAGATTAATTTATTTCAGAAATCAGGCTGGGAACTAAAGAAAACAATGTAAAAACAAAGATTAATTTCTGAGAAGCCCCAAATAAGTTTACAACTGTGTTTTCTTGGTATGACTGACAGAGATATAACATAGCTTGGTGCTTTCTTTCCCACAGGATGTCTTTTAATCTCTTTCTCATACACTTTTAGGGATCCAGATTAGATGATCAAAGATGTGCTCCACCACCTGCTACCACAAAGGGTCCGACAGTACCAGATGAAGACTTTTTCAGCCTTATTTTACGGTCCCAGGCAAAGAGAATGGATGAACAGAGAGTTCTTTTACAAAGAGATCAAAACAGAGACACTGACTTTGGGCTAAAGGACTTTTTGCAAAGTAATGCTTTGTTGGAATTTAAAAATTCAGGGAAAAAATCAGCAGACCACTAGTTACTATAGATGTATTTTTTTTTTCCTTTCAGAACACGGTAAGGAAACAATCTATTAATTTTTTCCTTAAAAGGAGAATTTATAGCACTGTAATACAGCTTAAAATATTTTTAGAATAATGTAAATAGTTAACCTTCAGTAGTCTATTAAGGCATCACTACTTCTCTGGACACGCGCATGTTTGAGGGTGGAGGTGTCCTGTAAAGGTGCTTCATCATCTGAGATTACTTGGGATGTGTTCTTTGGCAGCTTGTTAGGTTACTTTACCTAGTGTTTGTAAAGTAGGAAGTTAAGTGAATCATAGATTAGAATTTAATCCTCTTATGGAAATAATTTTTTAAAATCTTGACAATGGCATTTTTTTTTACACATAACCATGGATGTAGTGGGAAACAATGCTGTTTAGTAAAAATAATGTACTTGATCAATGTAAAAAAGCATATAAAATAGTCTTATTAAAAATCTAGTTTTTTTTTTTCTCCATGAAAATCTATTTTCAATATTTTTTAGGCCAGTCAGTATAAAAGAAACTCTGCTTCTTGGGCTGGGCATGGTGGCTCATGCCTGTAATCCCAGCACTTTGGGAGGCTGAGGCAGGAGGATTGCTTAAGGCTAGGAGTTCAAGACCAACCTGGGCAACATAGTAAGACCCCCGTGTCTACAAAAAATAAATCAGCAGCCAGGCGCGGTGGCTCATGCCTGTAATCCCAGCATTTGGGAGGCCTACGTGGGTGGATCACTTGAGGTCAGGAGTTTGAGACCTTCGTGGCCAACATGGCGAAACCCCATCTCTACTAAAAATACAAAAATTAGCTGGCCATGGTGGCATGCACCTGTAGTTTCAGCTACTTGGGAGGCTGAGGCAAGAGAATCGCTTGAACCCCTGGGAGGCTGAGACTGCAGTGAGCCGAGACCAGCCACTGGAGTCCAGCCTGGGTGAAAAAGCAAGACTCTGTCTCAAAAAAAAAAAAAAGAAAAAAGATAGCAAGCATGCTGGCACACACCTGTAGTCCCAACTACTTAAGAGGCTGAGCCAGGAGGACCACTTGAGCCCAGGAGGTGGAGGCTGCACTCCAGCCTGGGTGACAGAACAAGACCCTGTCTCTAGAAAACAAGTATCTTTTGTGTGTTTTGGGCTATTTGTTTAAAATATATATATATTTAAAATGGTCTCTTCTGTTCCATAATACTGCTGTAAAACAAACTTTTCTAAGTCCCAATATAAAAAAAACAAAAAGCACCATATGGTTAGGTCAAGAACCTAGGACACATAAATAGAAAACAGATGAAAACTCACAAAAATTAAGTATAAAAGATGTCAGCTAGAACATTAGTTGTCATTAAGCCTTGTCTTCCTTATCCCAGATACTGAAGGCAGTTTACAAGGGGATAACAAAGTAACTGTAGCAAAAGACAAGTATGGGACAGACCAGGGCCTGGAGTAACACTGCATCACAGACTGCAAAAGCCCATGCTTGGAACAAGTTGCCAACTTGTTCCACTCTCCTTGCTTCTGACTGTGCACAGCTGGGATGGGATCTGGGGATGTGGACCCCTATTCTTTCAAAAAGTCATTCAGGTGATTTGAATGGGCAAATAGAAATATTTATCTAAATGGCCAATGTTTTTTAAAGAGAGAGTCATAATCTGGAATTAAAGTGCTCAGCCAAAAAACAAAAAGTACTAAATTAAAACCTGGATTACATTATGTTTTACGTATACTATAAGGTGTGATGTCCTGGATAGCATTTTAAAAACTCAGGTAAGTTTCATGGGGTTCTTATAAGAAAATTCAGTAACACAGTATACCAAACCACAATGTAAAAAGTTTATTTTGTGTATATAATAGTTCTTACAGCCTGTAAACATTCAACATTATTCCATTTAAACATTGTTTTTAATAGCTGTCTATCTACCCTGTTCTGATTTTCCTAAAAGCTTCACACTATATAGGCTGGGCACGATGGCTCACGCCTGTAATCCCAACACTTTGGGAGGCCGACAAGGGCAGATCACTTGAGGTCAGGAGTTCGAGACCAGCCTGACGAAACCCCGTCTCTACTAAAAATACAAACATTAGCCAGGCATCGTGACGCACACCTGTAATCCCAGCTACTTGGGAGGCTGAGGCAGGAGAATCGCTTGAACCTGGGAGGTGGAGGTTGCAGTGAGCCGAGGTTGCGCCACTGCACTCCAGCCTGGGCGACAGAGCAAAACTCTCAAAATTAAATTTTAAAAAAGCTTCACACTATAAACCTTAATTTTAATGACATATTGGCTAGTCAATAAGCCTTATCTCTTTTCTGATAATAAACTGGCCCTGATGTGTTCAATTTGCTTTCATATTTAAGTCTTTCCTGAATTGCTGTCGTCATTCAACAGCAGCTGCACGTTGCCTTGCTAGCTGTCAAAGTAGATTTCATCCCCAAATGGATATCTGTAATGAAAGAATACAGAGGTGAAATTTTATTTAAAATTTTTTTAAAAGAATTTGTTTTTGGATTAAAAGGCATGCAAGCAGCTTTAATTCCATTCACAGTTACAGTCTATCACCTGGGGCATTCACTACTTTTCAGAGTCGGATCACAGTTCAAAAGACAGCTCTCACCTTGGGGTCAGTGTGAACATGTCTTGTCCCCAGAGGACTACTTTATATGCATGGATGTTCACAAACTTATTCTAAACTGCAGGTGTCTGTCAGGATTCATTTGTTATATGCCCTCTGTGTTAAAAATCTTAAAATCCTTTTGCACTTCTTAGAAAAAATAACCTTTCTGATGAAATACTAAAGATGTTTGCAATATTAAACTAGAATATATTAACATGTATAATTTTTTTTGAGACAAGGTCTTGCCCTGTCACCCAGGCTGGAGTACAGTGGCTAGATCATAACTCACTGCCACCTCGCCATCTTCTTCTCTCAGCCCTCCAAGTGGCTGGGACTACAGGTGTGTACCACCATGCCTGGCTAGTTTTATTTTTAGTAGATAGCCTTGAACTCCTGAGCTTAAGCCATCATCCTCCCTCGACCTCCCAAAATGCTGGGATTGTAAGCATAAGCCACTGCGCCTGGCCTAAAATTAAATTGTTACAGGCACATAAGTAACACTTCCTGGATCCAAAAATGTGCATTCTGCATTTCGTATTAAAATGAAAAAGCAAGTGCTTGGGATACAAATATCTGCATGAAAATTTAAAGACTTTATTCCTGACTGGTATCATTTTTAGTAAGCAGTTGAACATAACTTGTAGTGTGAATATGGTTAAAACAAAGGACACCTGATGTCTGTGAAATCTTGTAGTGTGAATATGGTTAAAACAAAGGACACCTGATGTCTGTGAAATCTTGTAGTGTGAATATGGTTAAAACAAAGGACACCTGATGTCTGTGAAATCTTGTAGTGTGAATATGGTTAAAACGAAGGACACCTGATGTCTGTGAAATCTGCTAAGGACAGGTACAAAATTTATGAATTGCTTTTTAAACAGTTTAAAATGAGGAATGCTTTTGATAACAAGAAAGACTAATGTAAAGTGCTGACTGATGTCCTGTCTGCAGTTAAGGAAGACACCCAACTTTTCTTCCTCATTATGGTATTCTCTGTGTACAGATTTCTAAAAATGCAAACTTCCTATGGACAAGACAATATGATCTGCTATAATATAAATTAAGATATGATAATATGCTAGGATTCTGAGTAACATGAAAAATAGGTCTTATAAAAAGCCCATATACTTCATTTGGTGGGGGAAAAGAATAATGTCATTTTCAGTCAACTGACTCTGTAAAACAGATTACCAATGTTATCTAAATTGCCCTGGCAGTCTTCAGTTTTCTCTAAGTAAACATAAAGTAAAAGTGACAATAAGGATGCAGGTGTAGTAATAGCTGCAGAAAAGATGAAACTACGAAGCCACAATGACCTGTGGGCAGGCTACATAGAGACAAGCTGAGGTGTCAGTCAGACTGATCCTGGTAACGACACTCCATGGCTGCATGAAGATGCTGGAGGCACCAAGTGGGTGGCCTGAACTCTAGTGGATTCCACTAGGCAACGTAAGTTGGTTAGTGGGTTCGTTCCTGTAAGTGCCTATAACAATAAAATTTCTTTTTCAATGTCCCCAATTCAAACTGGTCTCCTTAACTATCCAGAATCAGTGATGCCTGCCATCTGTTCATCTTAAACACTTCCTACTTTATGGGATGTAAATATCAAAGAGAAGATGAAATTAAAAGCTTTTATATACATACATGTGTTTGTTAATTCTAATTGTCAGTAAAAATGTGAATGTTGAAGTTGGCACCTTTGTAGTAATCAGAATACTTGCAGAGAAGAGAAAGAGAGTGAAGAGTATACTTTACAGAGCTCGGAGGAGACTTGAGGCTGTCGTTTGTGCTGGTGTTCCTCTAGCCACAGGGGCTGCTGACTGGATCCTGTCCACATGGTCCAGCCACACCACTTGTGGGGCTGTATGTGCTGCCTTGGTCTGGGCTGCCCACAGCTTCAGACTTGAGCTGGGCCTTTTCCACTGCAGGTGAACCTTCTGTATTCCCCGATGTGTCTTGGCCAGAGACAGGCTTGGCAGACTGGCTGCTTTCAGTACTGCTTTCTTTCAGTGTGCCTTCCCCCAGGATTCCACCTATCTCCTTGGGCTTTGTATCCAAAACAGGTGATTTCTGCTATAAAGTACAAAATTACATTTTAACTGTTTGATGTAATGTGAAGTCTCAGTAATCAAACATATCTAAAAAGTTCCCACCCTAATCTGTTGTAGCAAGCTCCAAACTCTTTCAAATCCAGGGTCCAGTGCTAAGTTATAATTATGTAAATGTTATTATACCTCACCAAACTCCACTGTACTCCCATGGAGGAGTGGGAACACTTAGGGCCTACTGGGTGGTCTAGTGGCCCAGCTTAGAAGGCGTCAAGAGAATTGGTCATCAGTATTGTTAACATCTCTAGCCTGGTGAGAATAATTCATTTGACAAATATTTATTGAGCATATATTAAGTTCTAGGTGTTAGAGATACAGCAGGAACAAAACACATAAAACTGTTCTCACTGGAACTTATATTTAGGTTAGAAGAAAATCACACAAGTATGATATATATGTTGAATTAAAGAGGCTATGTAAAAAAAGCAGAGAAGATATGACTGCTGAATGTGGGGTGGGCTGGTAGGGTCAAATTATAGTTTAAATCAGGGTGGTCTGAAAACGTGATATGTCATCCAGCCAAACTTAAAGTTTTGTAAGTGAAGGAGAAATAAAATCCTTTACAGACAAGCAAATGCTGAGAGATTTTGTCACCACCAGGCCTGCCTTACAAGAGCTCCTGAAGGAAGCGCTAAACATGGAAAGGAACAATCAGTACCAGCCACTGCAAAAACATGCCAAAATGTAAAGACCATCAATGCTACGAAGAAACTGCATCCACTAACAAGCAAAATAACCAGCTAACATCATAATGACAGGATCAAGTTCACACATAACAATATTAACCTTAAATGTAAATGGGCTAAATGCTCCAATTAAAAGACACAGACTGGCAAATTGGATAAAAAGTCAAGACCCATCTCACGTGCAGAGGCACACAAAGGCTCAAAATAAAGGGATGGAGGAAGATCTACCAAGCAAATGGAAAACAAAAAAAAGGCAGAGGTTGCAATCCTAGTCTCTGATAAAACAGATTTTAAACCAACAAAGATGAGGAGAGACAAGGCCATTACATAATGGTAAAGGGATCAATTCAACAAGAAGAGCTAACTATCCTAAATATATATGCACCCAATACAAGAGCATCCAGATTCATAAAGCAAGTCCTTAGAGACTTACAAAGAGACTTAGACTCCCACATAATAATAATGGGAGACTTTAACACGCCACTGTCAACATTAGACAGATCAACGAGAGACAGAAAGTTAACAAGGATATCCAGAAATTGAACTCAGCTCTGCACCAAGTGGACCTAATAGACATCTACAGAACTCTCCACCCCAAATCAACAGAATATACATTCTTCTCAGCACATCACACTTACTCCAAAACTGACCACATAGTTGGAAGAAAAGCACTCCTCAGCAAATGTAAAAGAACAGAAATTATAACAAACTGTCTCTCAGACCACAGTGCAATCAAACTAGAACTCAGTATTAAGAAACTCACTCAAAACCGCTCAACTACATGGAAACTGAACAACCTGCTCCTGCATGACTACTGGGTACATAACGAAATAAAGGCAGAATAAAGATGTTCTTTGAAACCAATGAGAATAAAGATACAACATACCAGAATCTCTGGGACACTTAAAGCAGTGTGTAGAGGGAAATTTATAGCACTAAATGCCCACAAGAGAAAGCAGGAAAGATCTAAAATTGACACCCTAACATCACAATTAAAAGAACTAGAGAAGCAAGAGCAAACACATTCAAAAGCTAGCAGAAGGCAAGAAATAACTAAGATCAGAGCAGAACTGAAGAAGATAGAGACACAAAAAACCCTCCAAAAAAATCAATGAATCCAGGAGCTGGTTTTTTGAAAAGATCAACAAAATTGATAGACCGCTAGCAAGACTAATAAAGAAGAAAAAGAGAAAAATCAAATCGACGCAATTAAAAATGATAAAGGGGATATCACCACCGACCCCACAGAAATACAAACTACCATCAGAGAATACTATAAACATCTCTACGCAAATACCTTAGAAAACCTAGAAGAAATGGATAAATTCCTGGACACATACACTCTCCCAAGACTAAACCAGGAAGAAGCTGAATCCCTGAATAGACCAATAATGGGCTCTGAAATTGAGGTAATAATAGCCTACCAACCAAAAAAAGTCCAGGACCAGACGGATTCACAGCAGAATTCTACCAGAGGTACAAGGAGGAGCTGGTACCATTCCTTCTGAAACGATTCCAATCAATAGAAAAAGAGGGAATCCTCCCTACCTCATTTTATGAGGCCAGCATCATCCTGATACCAAAGCCTGGTAGATACACAACAAAAAAAGAAAATTTTAGACCAGTATCCCTGATGAACAACGATGCAAAAATCCTCAATAAAATACTGGCAAACCAAATCCAGCAGCACATCAAAAAGCTTATCCACCATGATCAAGCAGACTTCATCCCTGTGATGCAAGGCTAGTTCAACATACACAAATCAATAAATGTAATCCAGCATACAAACAGAACCAAAGACAAAAACCACATGATTATCTCAATAGATGCAGAAGAGGCCTTTGACAAAATTCAACAGCCCTTCATGCTAAAAACTCTCAGTAAATTCGATATTGATGGAACGTATCTCAGAATAAGAGCTATTTATGACAAACCCACAGCCAATATCATACTGAATGGGCAAAAACTGGAAGCATTCCCTTTGAAAACTGGCACAAGACAGGGATGCCCTCTCTCACCACTCCTATTCAACATAGTGTTGGAAGTGCCGGCCAGGGCAATCAGGCAGGAGAAAGAAATAAAGTGTATTTAATTAGGAAAAGAGGAAGTCAAATTGTCCCTGTTTGCAGATGACATGATTGTGTATTTAGAAAACCCCATTGTCTCAGCCCAAAATCTCCTTAAGCTGATAAGCAACTTCAGCAAAGTCTCAGGATACAAAATCAAGGTGCAAAAATCACAAGCATTCTTATACACCAATAACAGAGAACCAAATCATGAGTGAACTCCTATTCACAATTGCTTCAAATAGAATAAAATACCTAGGAATCCAACTTACAAGGGATGTGAAGGACCACTACAAATCACTGCTCAATGAAATAAGAGGACACAAACAAATGGAAGAACATTCCATGCTCATGGATAGGAAGAATCAATATTGTGAAAATGGTCATACTGCCCAAGGGAATTTACAGATTCAATGCCATCCCCATTAAGCCACCAATGACTTTCTTCACAGAATTGGAAAAAAACTACTTTAAAGTTCATATGGAACCAAAAAAGAGCCCACATTGCCAAGACAATCCTAAGCCAAAAGAACAAAGCTGGAGGCCTCATGCTACCTGACTTCAAACTATAATACAAGGCTACAGTAACCAAAACAGCATGGTACTGGTACCAAAACAAAGATACAGACCAATGGAACAGAACAGAGCCCTCAGAAATGATGCCACACGTCTACAACCATCTGATCTTTGACAAACCTGACAAAAACAAGAAATGGGGAAAGGATTCCCTATTTAATAAATGGTACTGGGAAAACTGGCTAGCCATATGTAGAAAGCTGAAACTGGATCCCTTCCTTACACCTTATACAAAAATTAATTCAAGATGGATTAGAGACTTAAATGTTAGACCTAAAACCATAAAATCTCTAGAAGAAAACCTAGGCAATACCATTGAGGACTTAGGCATGGGCAAGGACTTCATGACTAAAACACCAAAAGCAATGGCAACAAAAGCCAAAATTGACAACTGGAATTTAATTAAACTACAGAGCTTCTGCACAGCAGAAGAAACTACCATCAGAGTGAACAGGCAGCCTACAGAATGGGAGAAAAATTTTGCAATCTACTCATCTGAGAAGGGCCAATATACAGAACCTACAAAGAACTCAAACAAATTTAGAAGAAAAAAACCCCATCAAAAAGTGGGCAAAGGATATGAACAGACACTTCTCAAAAGAAGACACTTATGCAACCAACACACACATGAAAAAATGCTCATCATCACTGGCCATCAGAGAAATGCAAATCAAAACCACAATGAGATACCATCTCACACCAGTTAGAATGGCGATCATTAAAAAGGCAGGAAACAACAGGTGCTGGAGAAGATGTGGAGAAATAGGAACACTTTTACACTGTTGGTGGGACTGTAAACTACTTCAACCATTGTGGAAGACTGTGGTGATTCCTCAAGGATCTAGAACTAGAAATACGATTTGACCCAGCCATCCCATTACTGGGTATATACCCAAAGGATTATAAATCATGCTGCTATAAAGACACATGCACACGTATGTTTATTGCGGCACTATTCACAATAGCAAAGACTTGGAACCAACCCAAATGTTCATCAATGCCGATTGGATTAAGAAAATGTGGCACATATACACCATGGACTACTATGCAGCCATAAAAAAGGATGAGTTCATGTCCTTTGTAGGGACATGGATGCAGCTGGGAACCATCATTCTCAGCCAACTATCGCAAAAACAGAAAACCAAACACCGCATGTTCTCACTCATAGGTGGGAATTGAACCATGAGACCACTTGTACACAGGAAGGGGAACATCACACACTGGGGCCTGTCATGGGGTAGGGGAGAAGGGAGGGATAGCATTAGGAGATATACCTAATGTAAATGATGAGTTAATGGGTGCAGCACACCAACATGGCACACGTATACATATGAACACACCTGCACATTGTGCACATTTACCCTAGAACTTAAAGCATAATAAAAAATAATTTAAAAAAAAAAAAAAAAAAAGCATGATATGGCTAGGCATGGTGGTATATGCCTGTAATCCCATAACTTTGGGAGGCCAAGGTGAGAAGACTGCTTGAGGCCAGGAGTTTGAGACCAGCCTGGGTAACAGCAAGACCCCATCTCTACAAAAAATAAAAAATATTAGCCAGGCATGGTGGTATAGTCCTAGTTACTAGGAAGGCTGAGGCAAAAGAATCGCTTGAGCCCAGGATTTTGAGGCTGCAATGAGCTAAGATCACTGAATTCCAGCCTTGACCACAGAGTGAGACCTTGTCTCCAAAAATAATAAAAATGAGTAAAGGCCTGAAGACAGTAACCATATGATATATGAATGAATACTGTAGAGCAAATGAACAGGAGGTACAAAGGCTCTCAGTTCAAGGAACAGTCAGGAGCCCTTGTGGCTGAAGTAGAGTGAGCATGGAGGAAGAAGAGGTGACCAGAGAGGTAGTGGATGTGGGGGAAGGGGAGACCAAGGAAGCTTCTAGGCCATTGTGATAACTGGCTTTCCCCTCAAGTGAGACAGGAAGTCACTGGAAGACTTCTGAGATAGGTGACAGGTAATTATTAACTATAAAAGCTGGAAGGAGCATCTTAAGGTCTTGTTTTTATGTTTGTTTTGGTTTTTGTTTTTTTTTTTTTTTTGAGACGGTGTCTTACTCTGTCACCCAGGCTGGAGTGCAATGGTATGATCTCGGCTCACTGCAACCTCTACCCCCTGGAATCAAGCAATTCTCCTGCCTCAGCCTCCCAAGTAGCTGGGATTACAGGTGCGCACCACATAATGCCTGGCTAATTTTTTTGTATTTTTAGTACAGATGGGGTTTTGCCATGTTGGCCAGGCTAGTCTTGAACTGCAGACCTCAAGTGATCTGCCTGCCTTGGCCTCCCAAAGTGCTGGGATTACAGGCGTGAGCCACTGCACCTGGTCCATCTTAAGGTTTTCTAGATACATGTAGATGTGTTTATTTTTGTACGAACTCTATGGGAAGGGATTCTATAATTTCCCAGATTCTATTATGTTCATAACTATTTCAAAGGTTTAACAGTTGCAACTTAAACATTTCAAATGACAATACAAATTCCTCCCTCAAACAGAAATGGAAATGTCCCTTTAAAAGACTGATAATGGTGAAACACTTCTCACCATTCTACAGGTAAAAAGTATAGTCTAGCCAGCCAATGACACCGAAGATTTGGGGAAGCAATGTTTTTGATCCCTGGCCCCAGCCCACTCTTCCATCCAGCTAATCCTTTAGGGCCCTACAGTGCCTTCCCTAGAGCTCTGGGCCTTCAGTGATGCCTCCTCTCTGATCTCTTCAAAGATAGAAATTTCTGTCATGCTCACATGCTGGCTTCCTATGAAGGTTCGTATGAATTACCATCTGTTCTAACAAACTACTGTTAAATTGTATTTTACATAAAAGTTAAATCTAATTTTATTTCTTCTGAGAAAGCTGAACTAACTTTTGACCAGAAAGGGGAGAGACAGAGTGACTGTATCACTCATTATATAATTAAGGGTGAAGGGTAAGAGTAAAAACAATCAAAACTCTTCCAGAAGCATTTAGAACCAGTAACGAAGGGACAGCAAAATAAAAGAGTTGCTGACTTACACCGGGTACCACCATGGGATGCTCTCGTGCCTCTGCGTCTGGTACATCAAATGCCCGGAGCACTTCAGGGCTCTTGTTGCCAGTCTGAAATCTCAAGTCAACATCTCTCTCTCTCAAAATCTCTCTTCTACCCTCATATGTTTTAGCATAAGGGCCTTGCTCAATGGGGCCAGTTTGGCCTCTATAATAGAACTCTGCATCACCTGCCCCACCATCAGGTCTGTAATCAATTTCCTCCTGCCGTCTCCTATCCCGTGGCCGAAGTGCCTGGGGAGGTTCTCTCTCAGGACCGCCTACATGTCTCAGCACATGAACTGATTTGCCAGCACCATAGCAGAAACTCTGTAAGGAAAAGAAATACATTTTCCTAAGGACTTAATGGCTAACCTACAAAAAAGTTATGAGGCATTTTATTCAGAGTGCTAACAAAATTATGTAATTTAACTTACTTGTGGCATTTATAGACATAAACATGTTAATTTGACTTTTTTTCATTAGAGACCTCTTCTTTAGATTAATACAAGGCCAAAGTGGCCCATAAAGCTTAATAAATCACTGACTATTCAGTAGATATTTTAATCAGCTAGACACATTTTGATCGAACTATAACAATGGCAGGCTGAAGCCTAGGTATTTAAATTAGCAGGTTCTAGTCTGATAATTATTCATGTTTCTAGCTTCATGCCCATCATACAAGGTAAATGCTGAAAATATTTAAAGTTGTATATCATTATGTAAACAATATCCTGTACCTTTACTTTTTACAACTACAAACTAGCTTAAGTTACAGCTAAAATTCAACAGGTTTTGATTCACATTCCATGGGAAAAAGTAGGCAGCAGTTCCTGACAGTGTGGCTCAGGGACCCCTGCGGGGAAACCTGAGACTTTCAGGGGATCTATGAGATCAAAACTTTTCATAATACAAAGACATTATTATTTGTCTTTTTCACTGTCCCCTCCTGAGTGTGCAATGGAACATTCCAGATGCTAGAGTGACAGCCTCACTCGGACTCAGGAGATGCCTGCCTGCGTGTACAGTACTCGTATGTTTTAAATTTGTTTTAACTCCTAATATGTAAATATCAATAAATATAATCACCTTAAGTAAGAGCTGTTTGTGGGCTTCAATTTTTAAGACTGCAAAGAGGTCCTGAGAACAGAAACTTTGAAAATTTCTATACTAGTTTTTCAAACACTACTATTTGAAGACAGAAGCAGCCAAAGTCAAAGAGCATAACTTTCCTTAGGGAGCACATGAAACAAAAACAGATGGTGAAGACTCTGCTGATAATTTCAGTTTCAGAGACTACACTACGACTATAGAACTAATGTCACCTAACAAAAAAAAAATACCCGCCAACCACATAATCCTGTAATCACAAGCCAAAACACAAAACCAAAAAAGAAACAATTTCAAAGTGAATAGAGATGGTGAATCTTGTATCCTTAGGGCAGAGAATTTCCCTTGGCACATCTAAGTTTTTGGTTTTATGCAACAACCGCTTTACTTGGGTAATAGCTAAAAAATCGATTAAAAAAAAAAAAAAAAAACACGGAACAGACCATGGATGAATGACGAGTAATATTTCTTCTTAATGTCTGCTCCTGGATCCCCAAACTCCTTCTCAGCATACCCACGTTCTTCCACATCCCTTTCTGGTTCTGTGTCAAACTCAATGCTCTTCCCTTCTCACTGCTGCAAAAACTCAGACTACAAATAAGAAGGCCCCCTTTCTCAAGGAGACAGTAATCAACTTCCTATTTCCTGTGTATTAATTCACCAAGGTTAAAGGACAAATTTAAAAAGAGGGTATTATTCTAAATCACTGCTACATATGCAATCAAACTAGAGAACTACTTTCTTGATTAGAAAAATATACAAGTGGACGCCCACTGCCATGGCGACTCTGCTGCGCCCTGTCCTGCGCCGGCTCCGCGGGCTCCGCGGGCTTCCCGGCCTCCTGCGGCTTGCAGCACAAATGCCTCTCCGGGCCAGGAGCGACGGCGCCGGCGCCGGCCCGCTGTACTCGCAACCACATCCCCACCTCCCCGCTGCAGAAAGCGCTGCTGGCCGCCGGCTCCGCGGCAATGGCGCTCTATGACCCCTGCCGCCACGACATGGTCGCAGTTCTAGGGGAGACCACAGGACACCGCACCCTGAAGGTCCTCAGGGACCAGATGAGGAGGGATCCAGAGGGTGCCCAGATCCTGCAGGAGCGTCCCCGGATTTCGACGTCCACCCTCAGAGCCTGCCAGAAGGCTCCCTGGGTCGCGAGTATCTCCGTTTCCTGGATGTGAATAGGGTCTCCCCAGACACCCGAGCACCCACCCGCTTCGTGGATGATGATGAGCTAGCGTATGTGATTCAGCGATACCGGGAGGTGCACGACATGCTTCACACCCTGCTGGGGATGCCCACCAACATCCTGGGGGAGATGGTGGTGAAATGGTATGAGGCTGTCCAGACTGGTCTGCCCATGTGCATCCTGGGTGCTCTCTTTGGACCGATCCAACTCAGTACTCAGAGCCTGCAAGTGCTGGTCTCGGAGTTGATCCCATGGGCCGTTCAGAACGGGCGCACAGCCCCATGTGTCTTCAACCTGTACTATGAGCGGCGCTGGGAGCAGTCCCTGAGGGCTCTACGGGAGGAGCTGGGCATTGCGGCACCACCCGTGCATATCCAGGGCTTGGCCTGAGTTCCTGGGCCAGCGGGGCCTGGCCTACTTCCCCCATCTACTGCTTCCCTTGGGGGCAGAGGGCTCCCTTGACTACCTTTGTTCCTCTTCTTTGAACACTGACCCTTGGACAACATTTATCACAATTTGTTATAGCCACTGCTGAGTGGCCTTGAGGACGAACCCCACAGGGAGCAAGCAGTACAGAGGCACTCCCAGGGGGACCAGCAGCTGTCCAAGGAGAACCATGCGTGAACAGTATCAGTCGTCTGGGCTCATGCTGGGATGTTGCAGCACTCCTGTTGCGACTCCTTCCAACCAGCCAGGTTTGCTGGAGGCCAGGCTGGGTGTCCTCACAGGAGTGAGTGCTACACCCAATTCCAAAAGCCCGAGAAGAGAGAAGCGGAGGGGGAGGCGAGTGTGTGAATAAAGGCTCCCATCAGGTCAAAAAAAAAAAAAAAAGAAAAATATACAAGTAAGTATAATATATCTGTATCATTTAGAGGGGGGGAGGGGAGGAAAAAAAATCTGTATCACTTAAAAATCACCTTCTCATTAAGCATGACTTAGCCTGATTTACAATATCAGAGAAGCCCAGTAAGTTCAGCATTGCTTTTCTGTAAATCTTGCTAAATATTGACAGTGCTAATACTAACCAGTATTAATATATTAACACTAAGATTTAATATAAATCTTGCTAAATACTGACAGTGCTTTTATATATATATATATATACACACACACACACACACACACACACACACTTTTTTTTTTTTTTTTTGAGACAGAGTCTCACACTGTCACCCAGGCTGGAAGGCAGTGGTGCAATCTCCACTCACTGCAAGCTCCACCTCCCGGGTTCACGCCTTTCTCCTGCCTTAGGCCTCCCAAGTAGCTGGGACTACAGACGCCCCCCACCACGCCCGACTAATTTTTTGTATTTTTTTAGTAGAGACGGGGTTTCACCGTGTTAGCCAGGATGGTCTCGATCTCCTGACCTTGTGATCCGCCTGCCTCGGACTCCCAAAGTGCTGGTATTACAGGCGTGAGCCACTGCGCCCGGCCTGACAGTGCTAATACATTAATACTAACCAGGATGGCTAATGCCATAATTATCAGCACTGGAAGATGAAGCAGCGCTGGAATTTCCTTCATGAGTGCTTTAATGAATTCCCCAGTTCCTTTTCCAATGTGCTTCAATGGCTCCGTTACAAATGTGGTGAATGTAACTGCAAGTGCCTAAAACAAGAGAGAAAAGCAACTTAATTTTCTCCTCACAGGGCTAAGGTACAGAATGAATCAAAATTCATTGTGCACTGAGGCTGAAAGTATGTTACATAAATTAAAATGCTGTTGTGCCATTTTTAATGTGAAAAATCACTGTGCAATAGTATTTTTTGTTGGACAAAGGCTTATTTGCAAAATGACTCAAACACTAAATTTCTTTAAAATACAAGGGATTTCTGACTTACTTTAAGGAATTTTTACAAAATATATGCGATACCTTTGTTGGTGGGACCAACCAAATAGGGTTGACTAGTAAGAGCTCATAGTATTTTTGGCATGGGTCATCCTTATAGGTCCATGAACTTCTAAACCATTCTGTTTAGAGAAACAGACAAAACACTGATCATTTCTTTTAATGTTGCATTTCATTCCCAAACAAGACACTACTTTGGTTTTGACCCTCTGACCACCCACCAATCAGTTTTAAATTATCTTGTTTTAAGTAGACTCCCTGTAATGCTGATTTTTTAATTTTTCATCTTACGTCCAAAATCATGTTTTAAAAATCCATTCAAATTATACATGTTTTATGCAGATAAAAAAATTGTATTTTATAAAAATGTCTAAAAGGTAAACACTTTAAAAGCAATGCTTCACAAACACAAATGAGAACAGGTAAAATGGGGAGTCAAAATAAGACTGGTGGATTGTATCAAAGTCAATATCCTGACTCTGATATTGTACTATTAAAGCTGTGCAAGATGTTACCATTGGAGGAAAATGGGGAAAGGGTACACCGGCCCTCTCTGTAGTGTTTCTTACTATGTAAATCCACAATTACCTCAGTAAATTATTTATTTAAAAAGTCAGTTCTGGCTGGGCGCGGTGGCTCAAGCCTGTAATCCCAACACTTTGGGAGGCCGAGACGGGCGGATCACGAGGGCAGGAGATCGAGACCATCCTGGCTAACATGGTGAAACCCTGTCTCTACTTAAAAACACAAAAAACTAGCCGGGCGAGGTGGCGGGCGCCTGTAGTCCCAGCTACTCGGGAGGCTGAGGCAGGAGAATGGTGTAAACCCGGGAGGCGGAGCTTGCAGTGAGCTAAGATCCGGCCACTGCACTCCAGCCTGGGTGACAGAGCCAGACTCCGTCTCAAAAAAAAAAAAAAGTCAGTTCTTTATGGAGTTTACAAAATAAAGTAGAATATTAGTTCTAATTTTTCCAAATCAGGCTTATATACATTGGCAAACTAGCCCGAGCTAGAGGACACATTTCACAGTCCACTGAAGCCATGAATTGGTTTAGTTCCCACAACTTTTTTTTTTTTTTTTTTGAGACGGAGTCTCGCTTTGTCGCCCAGGCTGGAGTGCAGTGGCCGGATCTCAGCTCACTGCAAGCTCCGCCTCCCGGGTTTACGCCATTCTCCTGCCTCAGCCTCCCGAGTAGCTGGGACTACAGGCGCCCACCACCTCGCCCGGCTAGTTTTTTGTATTTTTAGTAGAGACGGGGTTTCACCATATTAGCCAGGATGGTCTCAATCTCCTGACCTCGTGATCCGCCCGCCTCGGCCTCCCAAAGTGCTGGGATTACAGGCTTGAGCCACCGCGCCCGGCCTCCCACAACTTTTTAAGAAACATTTATTTTGGAACCCATCTGCAGAATTCTGTATCAGTCATGGACTTGCATTTATAAAATGCCTTAGAACACTATTAAACCATCCCCATTGCTAGATATACACAACCAAAGGTAGTGAACATTCATGAGAATGTTTATAAAATGTGAAAGAATTAAAAAACTAATCTTTCCCAGAGTTAAAAAAAAAGTAAAGCTATAACATAAAATTTCACAAGTCAATAAAGGCCATTAAATTTAAGATGGATATTAATTCATATATACACTCATTCACTTGATTCACTTGTTTAATAAACTTCTATTGAGAATATGCCAGACACTGTGCAAAGGACGAGATGAACAAAAGCGAGCATAGGATCCTTCACACAGTCTTATGAAGGAAGACATAATATCAGAGCCAACATATATACAACTTCTATTCCTTCCCTGTGACTTTAGATGAGCATACAAAGTCACTGGTTTTAAACCTCAAATGCTTCTTGCATGTTCTTCTGATATTAAAGATTCAGTCATGGAAAGCCTCCTCTGTTATTTTATCATTCTCTTTGTTCTATGTTCTCTCATTCTCAGAATTTCTATCAAAATAAGGACAAGTGCACAAACACCTTACCCCAGATACTTCCAGTCCAGTCCATCTTCTCGGCACACACATTGTTTAATGGCTCCATCTTGGCGACTTCGGCCTGATGCTGTGCAAAAGCTAGCTGACCAAAACCAAAAGGGAACCAGGAGAGGCCGTTACCATGAAGGTTAGGCCTACACATCCAAAAGACCTTCATTCAAAGAGTGTCTTTACCATGCATCCAAACCAGACTGTTATAAAAGTTTTAATTTAAAAAATTCATATTATTACTATTTTTTCTCTTTTTTTCCTGAGACGGAGTCTCGCTCTGTGGCCCAGGCTGGTGTGCAGTGGCACAATCTCTACTCACTGCAACCACTACCTCCCAGGTTCAAGCAATTCTCCTGCCTCAGCTTCCCGAGTAGCTGGGATTAAAGGTGCCCGCCACCATGCCCAGCTAATTTTTGTGTTTTTAGTAGAGACGGGGTTTCATCATGTTAGCCAGGCTGGTCTCGAACTCCTGACCTCAAGTGATCTGCCCACCTCAGCCTCCCAAAGTGATTATAGGAAATTATATTATAGGAGGGATTATAGGAAAACATATTATTTGTAAAGAGTAGCTATTTCCAGTTCATGGAAAAGTACAGCCTTAATGCAACAAGTAAGCATAAAGTACTAACTACAATTGCCTTCTCTGTAAGTAATTATAATGAAAAAGGAAAACTTTACTAAAAATAATGTTTTTAAAAATTAGTTCAGCCGGGCATGATGGCAAGGGCCTGGAGTCACAGATACTCAGGAGGCTGAAGTAGGAGAATCGCTTGAACCCAGGAGGTAGAGGTTGCGCTGAGCCGAGATTTCGCTACTGCACTCCAGCCTGGGGGACAGAGTGAGACGGTCTCAAAAACAACAACAACAACAACTAGTTCTAGCCATACAAATTAAATGACTACTTCTCATTTTCTTTTACAGTTGATGATATCCTATTTTGCACTGGATAATTTCCAGCACAATGACCAATATATAATCATTGAGGTGACAATACTCAACAAACTTTCCTTCCACATAGAATCTGTGTTTAATTTGTAAATAATTAGTTCTAGATACTATAATACTTAGGGCAAAAGGTTAAAGAAATGTCATAATGCTTTAACCAGATGAAGTCATTGAAGTCATTGGCTACTTGACTTACTCTGCTAGACAGATCTAAAATTTTCTTTCAATGATTATGCTATGTTGATGGGAACAGTAGTGGTCCTTTCAAATTTCTATATACAGTATGATCCCAACTTTGAAAGATAATTAAAATCTAGAAAAAACTAGAAAGAAATACCTCAAACTACTGACAGATTTTCTCTAGGTGATAAAATTATAGGTGATTTTTAAAATTAATTTCTTTTTATCTGTCTTTTCTACATTCTCTGCCATGAACATAACACTTACTCAAAAAATAAGCTAATTTTTAAAAGATAGTATTCTGGTATCATTTCTAGCAAAGAATAGAATGACATACCCTAAATTACCCACATGAGAATTTTTAAATGTATCCACCTAGCTTTATTCTTTTTTTTCCTTCCTTTTTTCGAGAAGGACCTCACTCTGTGGCCGAGACTGGAGTGCAGGGGCACGATCTTGGCTCACTGCAACCTCCCAGGTTCAAGCAATTCTCCTGCCTCAGCCTGCTGAGTAGCTGGGACTACAGGCACACGCCATCAGGCCCGGCTAATTTTTGTATTTTTAGTAAGGATGGGGTTTCACCATGTTGGCCAGGCTAGTCTTGAACTCCTGACCAAGTGATCTGCCCACCTCAGCCTCCCAAAGTGCTGGGATTACAGGCATTAGCCACCATGCCCAACCCACCTAGCTTTATTCTGACTTACATGCCCAAATGTTAACAGTAACTGGGTTATGAAAATTAGGACTGAACTTTTTTACCCACTAACTGGTCAAGGAATCAAAAAACAGTCAGCTAAGAATTGTCCATTTAATTCCTCCCCAGCGTGGACCACCTCTAGTCACTGCCTCCAACCTACATCCAAGGCAAGATTGCTTTCAACAGATTAGTCTTCTTTCATTGTGAATAAATGTGTTAAAATTGTAAAACCCTTCATCCATGTAATACCTTATATAAATACATCCAATTCCATCCTAGACTGAACAGAAAGCTGATGATTAAAACACGTCTCAACTGAGTGTACCAGCGTACATATGTCCACAGCTCGGTAGCCACTAAAACCACGACGCAGAGCAGACAAAGAAGTACCTTAAAACAGAGAGAAGCAGAAATCAGCCACCAAAAACACTCAGGGCAGCTAAAAAGAACTGGACTCAAATGCACAAAATCATTTCTACAATTTTGCGGCTTGTTCATCAATAAGGCATGAGTGACTTAGTACAGGTTCTTAACATAATTATGGTGGAGTTTGGAAAGTATTTTAAAAAGGAAACTTAATGACGTTGCCCTTGCCCTCATCCCATCTTACCATTAACACATTATATGGATCCACTCCAAAGGAATCTTCAAATCGCCACTTCCATGTTTCAAAATCATGAAACTTAAAATTAATTAAAATATCACTTAGTGCATCATCCAAGGCACCTGGTTTCCAGTCTTCTCCACTGAGAAACTTCTGTATTTCTAACAACGTTTCTCTTTTAAGGATAATCTCGGCATCATAATGCATATCGCCTTTGTTTTCATCAGGCTAAATTAAATTTACCAAAAAACAAACAATAGAAAGAGAATTTTATTACTACTTGGTGAACCATTTTAAGACAAAAGCCAATTTGGAACTAAATATTAGTTTGCAGTATTTCATATGTATAATAGCCTGGGCGAGGTGGCTCACACCTATAATCCTAGTGCTTTGACAGGCCAAGGTGGGAGGACAGCTTGAAGCCAGGACTTCAAGACCAGCCTGGGCAACAAAGCAAGACCCCATCTCTACAAAAAATTCTAACAATTAGCTGTGTGCAGTGGTGTGCACCTGGCTCCCGCCTACTAGGGAGGCTGAGGTAGAAGAATTGTCTGTGCCCCGGATTCAAGGCTACAGTAAGCTATGAGCACACCACTGCACTCCAGCCTGGGAGACAGAGTAAGACTCTGTCTCTTAAAAACAGTAATAATAATATCCACCTGTCTTCACAGGCTAACATGAAAACCAAAGATAATACAGGTGAAAAACATTTAAAAATTCTAGAACTCTGTGCAAAAAAAAGATACTGTAAATTTCACTAAAATACAGTTGATTCTTGCTATTCACAGTAGTTATTGTCTATAAAGTCACCTCAAACACCGATTAGCAAGTACTGAACCATTACTCCTATAATAAATATACAGTTTGGTTCATGCAAACCTCTGTCATAACATTTTTATCAATTGATCAATACATAACCTTGTTTTATGTGTGTTTCTGTACATTCCTGTTTAAGGACGCCTTATTGAATATACATATAGTTCATTCATTAACATTGAATACATGGACAACTGTCGTATACCTTACGCTTGACTCTAATACACACCTCTCTAATACACACCTTTTCTCTGTAAGTACATCATGGCCTTCTTGCACTTAGAAACACTAGACCTCAGTTCAGCACTACATCAGAGGGCTGTTTTAAACAACGAAATCATGCTGTTTAATGACTGGTCTCAAAATAAATAAAAATAAAAATAATCACCACTCTCCCCTCAAAAAAGCATGAAAAAATATACCACTAAATAGATCCCCAAAAAAAAAACACTTGTTTGCAGTATGAGAGCTGAAACAAGACAACAGTTTTGGTTGCCTTGTTCCATCTCAGCTGGGAATGCATGCAACAGGCAACCCAAATTTTTTGCCACTCTTCACAGTGTCCCAGAGTAACCACAAAACACCTCGATTATTGACTTTGGGGTTACACAGACTTAATGAGGTCGATTCATAAATACAGAACCTGTGAAGAATGAGGATCAACTGTGCATTTTTATTTTATGATTCACTGCATGACTTTTCATTTGCTGAACAGTTTTCAGATAGCCTAAAATCTGTATTAGTACAAACAAGAAAAATAAGGATTTCAAAGAGCAACAAAATAATGGGCTTCCACAAAATATATATTTATAACTACCTTTGTAAGTGTGAGTTCACCTTAGCAAAATCACTGTAAACAAATTTTGCATTAATTAGCAAGTTGATACAAATAAAATTCCTTTTTCTTTTACAAACAGTAAATACACGGCGGGGCATGGTGGCTCATGCCTGTAATCCCAGTATTTTGGGAGGCCAAGGCAGGCAGATCACTTGAGGTCAGGAGTTTGAGACCAGCCTGGCCAACATGGTGAAATACTGTCTCTAGTACAAATACAAAAATATTAGCCAGACGTGGTGGCATGCACCTGTAATCCCAGCTACTCGGGAGGCTGAGGCAGGAAAATAGCTTGAACCCAGGAGGCAGAGGTTGCAGTAAGCCGAGAGCCTGGGTGACAGAGTGAGACTCCATCTCAAAAAATACATATATAAAAAAGTAAATATGAAAAGAAAAGAAACAAATGTCACATATTATCACAAATCATCAGTAAGCATTTTTAAAAGCCATCATTAATATTAACATGTTTTAAAAATCAGAAACTAGGCCAGGCGCAGTGGCTCATGCCTGTAATCCCAGCACTTTGGAAGGCCGAGGCAGGCAGATCACGAGGTCAGGAGATGGAGACCATCCTGGCTAACATGGTGAAACCCCCTGTCTACTAAAAAAAATACAAAAAATTAGCCAGGCATGGTGGCGGGCGCTTGTAATCCTAGCTACTTGGGAGGCTGAGGCAGGAGAATGGCATGAACCCAGGAGGTGGAGCTTGCAGTGAGCCAAGATTGTGCCACTGCACTCCAGCCTGGGCAACAGAGCAAGACTCCGTCTCAAAAAAAAAAAAAAAAAAAAATCAGAAACTAAGTATTTTCAAGCATTTCCATCCTAGGTATTTTTGTTTCCATCTGTTTCCTTATCCAGGTTCTGTTCCACCCTGTACACAGCTGTAAGACTCAAATTATAGAGTGTACATTTGAGAACACATCTGCTTCTACAATTCCAGAATAAGGCAGCATTGTTATTCATCTAACACTCCCTTTTCTTTTGATCACTTCTTACTGTACCAGGAAGATGGAGTATATGGCAAGTTTTGCCAGCCTACACTGTGCTGATGCAAGGGCCTTTCATTTTCGGGGCTCTGCCTGTGACCACTTCTGGTAGGTGGGGCTAACGGCCAGATCAAGACCAAAGGCTGGTCTCTGACTCTCTAAATCAATTCTGGTGGCATACACAATAGGGAAAAAAAGTCTATGAGCTTTTAAATGAGCTTTCTAAATGTTATAAGTTATTAAATTACACGTTTTCTTGATGTTTTCACTTTGGTAAGTGAATTAAAACTAAATTAATGCATTAAGTCTGGGAAGTTTTCACTTCCCAAAGTGAAAACAGTGACTTCTTAAAAATAGAAATTTTGGCTGGGTGCAGTGGCTCACATCTGTAATCCGAGCACTTTGGGAGGTCAAGGCAAGCGGATCACCTGAGGTCAGGAGTTCAAGACCAGCCTGGCCAACATGGCAAAACCCCATCTCTACTAAAAATACAAAAATTAGCCAGGCATGGTGGCAGGTGCCTGTAATCCAGCTAGTCAGGAGGCTGAGTCAGGGAGAATTGTTTGAACCTGGGAGGCAGAGGTTGCAGTGAGCCAAGATTGCACCACAGCACTCCAGCCTGGACAACAGAGCGAGACTCTGTCTCAAAAAAAAAAAGGAAATTTTAACAACAATTATGAACAATATGTCTATAAAGCAGCACTCACCACAGTAAGCAACAAGGAGAAAAACTACATAAAATACATTTTTCTTTTTCTCAGCATATACTGAGAGAAAACCAGGAGTAGGGTCAGGACAGAATTATCACCCCACCTCCTCACCTCTATTAACTGGTGGAGCAGAGCACAGAGCTGAGTAAGTAAATCCATACAAACTAAAGGAGAAAGAGCGGTCTGCACTGCTCATCTTCCACCAGACCACTGCAAAGCAATACAGTAGTGCCTTCAATCCTGTATGAATAGCTTCTGGTTAGAGAGTCAGTCAGGTGGGCTCTGTTAAAAAGCATCATGATGCTTTCACTTCTTTATATTATTTGAAATTAATGAATAAAAATATCCACTACTCTGATTAGTATCACACCATCAGATACTCACAAGTCCAAGCTTTCCAGCTTCAATTAAAATCTTATTTAAGTATCTCCTAAAAACAGGATTGCTTTGACTTTCATAGTCTTCCCTCTTTTTCTTTTCGCACTCATCAATCTGTAACCATAAAATCATTCAACATTAGTTAGAGTCAAAGTATAATGTAAGGGTTAAGTTTCTAGCCTAGTGCTGCCATTGGAATCAAGGTAAGGAGCTAGTTGTTTTGATCAAGCTTGCATTTATCAGCTATAATACATTACAGGGCAGAGCTGGCCTGCCTCCCCATGTTCTCTTTGCAAAGGGCAAGTAGGCAACAAACATGGAGCCCAGATCCAGTACTTAGCTCTAACCTGGCAGTTTTTCTGCTGACTTTCAACAACTTTAAAGCTAAAGATCATGAGTCCAGGAGGCAGAGATCCACAAGCAGAGCATCTGGACCAATCTGCCTCTTTCTAATTCCAAAGCAACAATTTAACAAGAGAAAGGAGGAAGGAAGGGCAGGAGGGAAGAGCAGAATAAATACACACAGAGAGACCAAGGGGCAGAGAAACAGAGACAAGATGAAGCCAGAATATGAAATGAAAGACACAACAGAATATTTCTTCACTGTGCATATGACTTTTGGCCTTTCATTAATGTTTCATCAGCAATTAATCATTCCATGCTGTATGGAATGCTCAGGAAGGCAGGAACGGCAGCTTCTCCAGGGCACCATCCACATGGTAAACCTTCAGCACACAATTCTACAACGGAGCAGACTTCCTACGAACTTAGCTCTGCCACCACCAACCCAGAAGGCAAGTCGCTGAGGGTAGTGGATATTTTTCAAACATTAAAATAACATGGTGATTATCAACTTGTATTTTTTAACCGAGTGTGGACCACGAGTTCAGCACTGAAATGCACGTCAGTGGATAAACGCGACAATAACTGAGCAGCAGCACACCGACTTAAAATAAGAAGCGCACAGAGCAGAGGAGGACACAGAAGGACGCAGCAGTTTCCTTTGCTCTCAGGCAAGGTTTGTAAAACCAGTTTATTTTCTAAACCTTAAAGAAACAACTTAGGAAAAAAAAAAGAAAGGATTCGAGACTCCATTTTACCAATCATGTTTCTTATAACGTTTAAACCAGTCACAAATAATGGAATAAAAAAATTCTGTAAAAAGGTATTTCTGCATTTTTGCTATGCAACCAAACTTTTGTGTAGCTCACTATACAGTAATAATACACAAAGTGAAGCAATTTTTTTTCCTTTTCTTCTTCTTGTGGCTTCCTCAAATCATGGGAGCGAAGCAAATTTTATCCAAGCGCATTTTCTCAAGCACTCAGGTGAGACAATATTCGCATTGAATAAGAATCACAAGCAAGTGGGTATAGACCTTATTGGGCTCTATCTGGATCTCAATGAACAAACTCTCCCAGTCTCTCAAGCTGGGACTCATTCACTCTTTAGCAATTCCCTATCCCTTAACACCCGCCCCGCTTCCCTAAGCCACCAACATTTGCCTACTCTACCTCATAAAAGTTTAATACCTGCCTCTTATCTTCAACCCATCACTGCCTCATTTCAGACCTTCAGCATTGCTGGAGTTCTGTAGCCTCCACTGATCTCACTGACACCCCCCCGCCCCCGTCTCCATTCCAGGGCTTACCTCCTTACCTCCACACTGCTACCAGTTCGCCCTGCCTACGCAGCCAATTGAAGGTGGCTCCCACACCAAATAACGACTCCATTCACATCCCTTGACTTATTTATTTTTGTGTAAACTCTTCTTTAGCTACATTTTTTTAAAGAGGATTGGATAAGTGAAGGAATGAATACTATTACATGCTAAATTATAATAATCCTTCTTAAGAGTAACTCTTATGCTTATAAGCTGGTAATAGACACATTTCTTCATTTGCTACATTTGAGAGTTTACTATGCCTCAGCACTGTGATAGGTGATAGAGAATTAAGATGAATGAAACGTATTCCTTGCACCAAGAAGTCTGCAGTCTGGTAAAGAAATACTTACAACACAGAGATGTCAATGTTATTACAGGAAAATACAAGGTACTATTAGAAAAACCAAAGCTACAATAACAATGAGAAACCAAGGTCAGAGTATCCAAAGAAAAATTTGACCTATAAAAATCATATGGTACACAGAAACACTAGAAACACAAATGTATCAGCAGAGAGCGATTTAACATAATATAAAAATATAAAATTTATGAATGAAAAAAACTAACCTTATAAGTTAAAGAATCAAGTTTGTGATAACATTCTGATATTTCATCAGCATATGACAAGTCAGGACTGACATCCTTTTCCCCTGAAATACCATATTTTGCCTAAAACAGAGTATAGAAACATTTTATTTCTTTATAGTTTAGTTACAAAAATAGCCTTTGGTTAATGAAGACTAAGATTCTGACTTCATCATTTCATGACTCTGCATGTTATATTCTTAAATTATACTCAACCACAAAAAAACAGTTTCAAATGTACACACTAAGAACTAAAATCATATTATTTTGCTACTTCAAGGGCTTTACATTCAAATTCAATACTAGGTAGGTTTGAAATAATTTTAGATTAACAGTGTCAGGAAAATATTCTGCATAATTGCTAATCATGGATCCATGACCCTCATAGCTCTGTGAAAAACAACAGAGCTAGACTATTTCCATCATGGGGCTGAGAAGGTCTTACACACACATGCACGTATTTTTTTTTTTTAATACCTGCGATTTTCTCATTGTTCCTGAAGCAGCGTCATAGTTAAGCATGTCTGTGGGGTCAATCCAGTCATCATCATGAGCATAACCAGCTACTAGCAACAGACATTCACAAAGGAGCCAAGAACACAGCATCCTGTATAAGGCAAAAACAATTTTCAATATATATAACGAAATAGAATTATTTTTTAAATAAATTGGGTTTTCGGTTTTATTATTATTATTATTTTAGAGACAGGGTCTTGCTCCGTTGCCCAGGCTGGAGTGCAGTGATACAATCACAGCTAACTGCATCCTCCAACTCCCGGGCTCAACGGATCCTCCTGGCTAGCTGGGACTACAGGTGTGTGCCACCAGGCCTGGCTAATTTTTTTTTTAATTTTTAGTAGAAACAGGGTCTGTGTTATCCAGGCTGGTCTCAAACCCCTGGCCTCAAGTGATCCTCCCACCCTGCTAGGATTATAGGCATGAGCCATTGTACCCAGCCAGATTGTTCTATAATGAAAATACTTCCTTCTAGAGCTAAGATAACACTTTCTGAATAGTAACTAAGGAAGAAGGTACATTAATAATAAATTGGTATTCATATATAAAAAACATGCATGTATGCATAATATGCTCATTGAGATAAGAAAACAGGCATTTTTCCACATGGCCCAGCAATTCCATTCCTAGGCATATACTCAAGAGAAATGAAAATGTATGTCCACACAAAAACTTGTACATGAATGTTTATAGCCACATTTTTCATAACAGCCAAAACGTTTGGGAAAAACCCAAATTTCCATCAACAGGGCCAGGTGTGGTGGCTCACGCCTGTAATCCCAGCACTTTGGGCGGGTGGATTGCTTGAGCTAAGGAGCTCAAGACCAGGCTAGGCAACAACAAAAAAAAAAAACAGAAAATTAGCCAGGTGTGGTAGTGCAGCCTGTGGTCCCAGCCTCTTGGCAGGCTGAGGTGGGTGGATCACTTGAGCCTGGGAGGCGGAGGTTGCAGTGAGCCAAGATCACACCACTGTACCCCAACCTGGGTGACAGAGTGGGACCCCGTCACAGAAACAACAACAACAACAAACAAATTTCCATCAACTGATAAATAAATGAAACGTGATACAGCCATGCAACAGATTATTCAGCCATAAAAAGGGATGAAGTACTGACACCATGCTACAACATAGATGAACCTTGAAAATGTTACGTTATATGAAAGAAACCAGATATGAAAGACCACACATTATATAAGTACATATATATGAAATGTCCAGAATAGGCAAAGCTATTAAGACAGAAAGTAGATTAACAGGTGGTTAAGCCTGAAGGTTTGGGAGTATAATAGCTACAGGGTTTCCTTTTGAGGTGATGAAAAATGTTCTAAAATTGTGATAATGGTTGCAAATACATGCAAGTATACCCAAAACCATGGAATTGTATGCTTTTTTTTTTTTTTCCAGGCTGGAGTGAAGAGGCACAATCCCAGCTTACTGCAGCCTCGCCCTCCCAGACTCAAGTGATCTGCCCACCTCAGCCTCCTGAGTAGCTGGGACTACAAGCCTGCACCACCACACCTGGCTAACTTTTTTTTAATTAATTAACTTTTTTGTAGAGATAAGGTCTCAGTATATTGCCCAGGCTGGTCTCAAACCCCTGGGGTCAAGCTATCCTTCCACCTCAGCCTCCCAAAGTGCTGAGATTACAGGCATGAGCCACTGCGCCTGGTGGAACTGGACACTTTAAATGGTGGATTATATAGTATGATTTATAGCTCAATAAAGTCAATTTAAAAACAGGTATTTTAATGAACCTCCTTGTGTTTTTGGAGTTTTGTTTTGTTTTGTTTTGTTTTTTTGAGATGGAGTTTCGCTCTTCTTGCCCAGGCTGGAGTGCAATGGCACAATCTTGGCTCATCGCAACTTCCGCCTCCCAGGTTCAAGCGATTCTCCTGCCTCAGCCTCCTGAGTAGCTGGCATTACAGGCATGCACCACCATGCCCAGCTAATTTTGAATTTTTAGTAGAGATGGGGTTTCTCCATGTTGGTCAGACGAGTCTCAAACTCCCAACCTCAGGTGATCCACATGCCTTGGCCTCCCAAAGCGCTAGGATTACAGGCGTGAGCCACCACACCTGACTCCCTCTGTGTTTTTTTTCATTTTAACAAATGATAAATAAGAAAAGTGGGAAATTGCCAGGTACGGTGCCTCACGCCTGTAATTCCAGCACTGTGGGAGGCCAGGGTGGGCGGATCACTTGAGGCCAGGAGTTCGAGAGCAGCCTGGCCAACATGGTGAAACCCCGTCTCTATTAAAAATACAAAAACTTAGCCGGGCATGGTGATGTGTACCTGTAATCCCAGCTACTTGGGAGGCTGAGGTGGGAGAATCGCTTAAACCCAGGAGGCAGAGGTTGCAGTGAGCTGAGATCACACCACTGCACTCCAGCCTGGGTGACAGAGTGAGACTCCACCTTAAAAAAAAAAGAGAGAAGTGAGAAATTACAATTCAAATGAAGTGACTAAACTTCAAAACCATTCAGAGAAAATAACCTGCCTTACCTAAGCCCCTGCATAAACAGTCAAATAATTTAAACATTAGTAACTCTTCTATATAGCTATTTAATTAAAATTAAATAAAATTAAAAATTCAGTTCCTCATTCCCCCTAGCTACATTTCAAGCACTCAATAGCCACGTATAGGTAGTCGCTACCATATTGGACAGGGTGGATACAGAACATTTGACCACTTTTATCATCGAAGAAAGTTCTGTTGGATGGCCTATCTCATACCCACCACATGTAAGAATCAGGCAAGAGAACCCCAAGATGACAAAGCCCTGGGCCCTGTCCATAAACAGCTTACAGTCTAGTTGTACAATAAAAATAACTCCAGGCTAAATTAAATACTCCTGTTCCCCATGTGCCTTGTATATTCTTCTGGCATTGGAAGCAATGAAGTTAGCCATTTATCGGTCTGTCTCTTCCATTAGCTCAATGGCTCTCAACCTTGGCTCCATATTAGAATCACCCAAGGAGCTTCTAAAACTCCCAATGTTTTGGCCATATCCCAAAACAATTAAATCAGAATCTCTGGGATTAGGACCCAGGCACTGGAATTTTTTTAAGCCCCTCCAAGTGATTCTTATGTGTAGCCAAGATAGAAAACCACTGTTAAAGAGTGAACTTCTCTAGGGAAAGGTAATATCTTACTTAACTCTGAAGTCACTTTCCCACTCACATCTCCACCTTGTCCCTCCATCTCCCCAGCCTCAACACCCAGCCCAGTGGTTGGTACGTGAAAGACATTCAGTAAACGTTTGTTAAGCAGCAAATGCAAATAAAGCCATAGCAAGGACTCAAGGATTTTAGAGGTTCAAAGGATAAAGAAAGCACATCTGGCCAGGCACAGTGGCTCACGCCTGTGATCCCAGCACTTTGGGAGGCCAAAGCGGATGGATCACCTGAGATGGGGAGTTTGAGACCAGCCTGATCAACAATGGAGAAGCCCCATCTCTACTAAAAATACAAAATTAGCTGGGAGTGGTGGTGCATGCCTGTAATCCCAGCTATTTGGGAGGCTGAGGCAGGAGAATCGCTTGAACCCGGGAGGCGGAAGTTGCGGTGAGCCAAGATCACGCCATTGCACTCCAGCCTGGGTAACAACAGCAAAACTCCGTCTCAAAAAAAAAAAAAAAAAAAAAAGAATGCACATCAACTGGAGAAAGTGGAAAGACTGCACAGGAATGAGAATCTGAAGTAGGGGTAACATGTTAAGTGCTCAAGATGGGACAGGCAGAGACAGAGGGCAAAGTGTATGCTTCAGCAATTGCAATTGGGAGGATGGATACAGTGAGAGGTAGAGGTGGGTGGGTGGTGATGACACTGCTGAGGAAAAAAGCTTATGACTAACTTCACCTGCTGTAATTCTCACGAGGGGTGGGAGCCAAAGCTGGGAGCAGTAGATCACGCCTATAATCCCAGGACTTTGGGAAGCTGAGGTGGGCAGATCACTTGAGGTCAGGAGTTTGAGACCAACTTGGCCAACATGGTGAAACCCCATCTCTGCTAAAAATACAAAAATTAGCGGGGCATGGTGCCAGGCACCTATAATCTCAGCTACTCAGAGGCAGGTGAATCGCTTGAGCCTGGAAGGCAGAGGTTGAAGTGACCGGAGATCACGCCACTGCACTCCAACCTGGGTGACAGAGCAAGACTCCACCTCAAGAAAGAGAGGGATGTGAGCCACACTGCAGGAAGATAAAACTAGCACTAGGCCAGGCGCGGTGTCTCACGCCTGTAATCCCAGCACTTTGGGAGGCCAAGCAGGTGAATCACGAGGTCAGGAGTTCCAGACTAGCCTGGCCAACATGGTGAAACCCTGCCGCTACTAAAACTACCAAAAAAAAAAAAAAATTAGCCAGGTATGGTGGCATGCACCTGTAAATCCCAGCTACTTGGGAGGCTGAGGCAGGAGAATCGCTTGAACCTGGTTGGGGGACAGAGGTTGCAGTGAGCCGAGATTGTGCCACTTCACTCCAGCCTGGGCAAAAGCATAAAACTCGGTCTCTAAAAAAAAAAACAACAACAAAAAAAAAAAAAACTAGCACTAAGTGCGAGGAGGAGGAAAACCTGGATTCATTATCCAACAAAGTGGCTGAAGCAGAAGAAAGATGTGGTACTCGGCCTAAAAGAGTGGTGGCAACAAAACCAGGAAGGACACACGTGGCACACTCTGAAGATCAATTCTACAGACCTCAGCCTACCAGCAACAAAAACAGTGATGTTAATTTTAAATAGAAATTCAGAATGAGAATATGGCTGTGGAAGGAGTTCAGCATTAATTTGTTCAACATTTACCAAATACCTACTGTACACTGGGCACTGTGTGTGTGTGTGTCGGAGGTTTGCTCTTGTCACCCAGGCTGGAGTGCAATGGCGCGACCTCCTGGGGTGTGTGTGTGTGTATGTGTGAGACAGAGTTTTGCTCTTGTCACCCAGGCTGGAGTGCAATGGCGTGATCTCCTGGGCTGGGCTATGTGTGTGTGTGTGTGAGACAGAGTTGCGCTCGTCACCCAGGCTGGAGGGCAATGGTGTGATCTTAACTCACTGCAACTTCTGCCTCCTGGGTTCAAACGATTCTCCTGCCC